AGGTCCCCAATCACCCCGCCATACATGTTTTTGGAATATGGGAGGAAACCAGAATACCCAGAGAAAACCCACGCAGGCACGGTGAGATCATGCAAACTCCAGACAGGAAGGTCGGAGCTGGAATCTATCAAAGTTAGCACACTGCATCTCTCGAAAGTCCCGTGAGCCTACGGGGCAGTCCTGTAAGACACATCAACAAAGTTCAAGTTCTGGATGCTACATGTTGGCCAAACGAATGACGCCGGCAGCGGGACTCACATCAATATTACAGGACCTGTAGCGCTTTCTCTCGCCCAAACAGTACTTTCCACCAATGGTTGGCCTTCAATCAAGAACAGAAAAGCTGGCCGGTCAGACACATCTGAGTGCAATTTAACATTTTCACCTTCAACGCAGTGGTGGCTTCACATCTCTCTGCTGCTTGTTTTCATAAGAGTACAGTATTTTCAAACTCACAATCATCAAAGACCATTTGGCCACATCTCTGGCCCCGGACCATTATCTGGCTGAATTACACCCAATTACAAGCTGTGATAATCATACAACGGTAAGATGGGGAAAAGTACAAGTAGCCGGATGTAGTCATTTTTATAAATTATATGGATATAGCATAGGACTCAATTGCCACAGAATGACAACGCTGATGTGTACCTCGGGCTGTCGCAGTATCGCATAGAGGAGGAGACACCACCTCCACAGGTCCTGCTGCACTCTTCCCAAGGAGACCATTGGCCCCAACCTCCATCCACACCCTCTGGACGTGTCCCATACGCCACACAGATCCTCTTGTAGCACCACTGGGAAGACGTAACATGCATATTGTGCAAAAAGGCTCATATTTGAAGGCAGAGGAACAGAATGATAAAATGGGTTGAAAAACTTCATATCAAGGAAGTTAAAGGGAGCCAACCGACTACATGGTGACATTGTGGATGTTTTATGAGTTCTTACAATAAATAATATATAACCCTTTCATGATTAAATATTCTTTACCCCTTTCTCAATGGTGTTGGTCTGACAGATGGTTCCCTCTGCAGCAGGAATGCTACTGGTGATGCATCGGTTGCTCTTGCTCATGCACCATAGCTCACTGCAGACCTCCTGTAAGCGTGTGTGTGTGTGTGTGTGTGCGTGTGTGTGTGTGTGTGTGTGTGTGTGTGTGTGTGAGCAAGAAAAGATACAAAGTCAATCAGAGAGTGGTCAAAGAACTGAAACATTATTAGACAGCAACATTTCCACTGTTGTAGGGTCTTCTTAAATCTGAGCTGAAGTCTCTCAAGGTTCTAATTACAATCAAAATCCAAAGTCCAGAGCAGATTTACAAGTACGATCTATCCATCCATCCATCCATCCATTTTCTGATTCGCTTATCCTCACAAGGGTTGCGGAGCGTGTTTGACCCTATCCCATATGTCTATGGCAGTAGGCATGGGACACCCTGAACTGGTTGCCAGCCAATCGCAGGGCACACATACACAAACTACCATTTGCGCTCACAGTCACGCCTACGGTCAATTTGGAGTGCCCAATCAACCCGCCATACATGTTTTTGGAATATGGGAGGAAACCAGAATACCCAGAGAAAACCCACGCAGGCACGGTGAGATCATGCAAACTCCAGACAGGAAGGTCGGAGCTGGAATCGAGCCCTGCACCTCTGCAATGTGTGGCAGATGTGCTAACCAATCAATCACCGTGCCGCTCAGTTACAAGTATGAGACACTTGAAATTTTGTATTAACCAGCCACTTGACTTATATCAGTGAAATGTTAGGCTGAAACAGAAACAAAAAAAAAAAGTGCTGACAAGAATACTCACTGCATATTTACATTGTCGGGATCTGACTCCATATTGGAAGCGGCACTGTTCATCTGCGTCGTAGGCCTGGCCCGGGGCTGTGGTGGGGTACACAAACTCCTGCTTTGGGGGCACATTGTTCAGACACGATCCCATACCTGAGCTGCAAGAGGCCAAAAACACACAAATATGTGAGGTTTTTTTTTCAGTTTTCTGACCATAAAATGCTTGACAGATATTGAGTAATTTTATCGACATTTTTGTGGTGTTGCTGATATCGAAGCGGCTGACTCACTCCAGAAAGCTGGTGATGTAATCCCTGCTGCAGGCCGACCAGATGAACGGGTTCGTCTTCATGGTGATGTGGTCGGCCATCAGCTTGGCCGTCTCCTGGGTACGGGGCCCACACGTATTACCAATACCGTCATGGTTCATCCCAAACCTTAAGTTTTTGAAAAAAAAGCAATGATAGACAATGATGCTTCCCTATTTTATATGTGCATCAGTGGCTTTTATAAATAAACCACTTTTGACATTTACATTTGAGGTTTGCAAAGTAACTGCAGATTCAGCGATCAACCGAAGCCTCCTGAATAAAGTGAGTGAGGAAGAGCTGCGGTTCAAAATGTAGGACAGTGTGTTTTAATGTTGCGTCTACTGCTGTAAGATCCTCAAGTTCAAGTTGCTTCCTGTGTGTGTGTGTGTGTGTGTGTGTGTGTGTGTGTGTGTGTGTGTGTGTGTGTGTGTGTGTGTGTGTGCGCGCGCGCACGCACAACCTAATATAGAGGCATTATTTTTTTTTTTTAAATCTACCTCAAAAAATTACTGTACACTTTTTGATGATCTAACACAGGGGTGTCAAACTCATTTTTGTCACGGGCCAGATTTTAGTTACAATTTCCCTTGGAGGGCCGTTATGACTGAAACCATATAAAGAAGTCAAGAATAACGGTTCATTCACCTATTGTTTAAGTTACTGTGATGAGGGGTTTGGTAAGAAGAAAATGCTTACCGTATCCGTCGTATTTATTACAAATGAGAATTTGAAACTTTGGTGGAGATTTTAGCAAGCATCATGAAATTTGACAGCTATGATTTGCTTTCGCGGGCCACATAAAATGATGTGGTAGGCCAGATCTGGCCCCTGGGCCTTGAGTTTGACACCTGTGATCAAACAGAAAGTATGCTTAATGATATTAAAGAGCATAAGCCTGATATACCTTTTATTGGCCAGATGAGGAAAATCTTTTTGATTGATGATGATTTTGATGCTTTTGTAATAGCAAATTTGATCAGTGCCAAACTTGGAAAGGAAGACAAGTTATTGACATGTTGACAAGTTTTTGTTTTGTTATTTTGATTGTTTGGTGTATCTTAAGCAGATGCAGGCTGGGTGCACTATTGTATGACACAATACAAATGTCCTTTGTTCATATTCATTCATATAATAACGCTCGGGTCACTGAAGCCTATCCCAGCTAACTGCAGGCAATAGGAAAGGTACACCCACAACTGGTCGCCAGTCCATCCCAGACATCATAAACACATTATTAAATGAAAACCCCTTGAAAAATATCAATCCAAAATGGGCAGTATTTGTAATTCATTTCCATGTTATGTTTTTCTCTTTTTATGTCAGTACGCACGTGTGCGTTTTACTCACGTATGTCCAATTTCATGGGCAATAGTGAAAGCTGTTCCGAGGCCAATGTCCTCGTTGATGCTGCAGCTCCTCTCCGGCTCACACATTCCTCCAACGGGAGCAAGACCTGTCCAACACAGACACGCATTCAAATACACACTCCTTGGAGAGTCATCGTGATAAGTAACAAAACAACAAGTCAGTCCAGCAACTGTTATGCAACGGAGAAAGTATGTTTCAATTTAAGGCAGAAATATCACAATAGTCCACGTTTTAAAACATATCTTGGTGTTACCTAAAGTTTCACAGGGCTTGTTTTTTTGGATGCAAATGTCATACCTGTGCACAGTGAAGACAGAAAACAGGCTGTTAATTGCGCCATACAGTACATACGATACGGTGTATTCACAAAAGTACACAATGGTACATCACTAATTATATCACCTTATTGACATGACGTAAACAACAATGCTAGGCTGATAGATGGTGATTGTTTTTCAAAAAAAACAATAGCAAGACTTCCAGAACAGCAACATGTAACACTGAGCCTCAGCTGGATGAATAACACATTGCAGAAACCCATTTTAACTTGTAATATCCTGCAACGCGAAATGTCATGCATTCTATTCAAAAGGATAAGAAAATATTTGTGTGAGCAGTGGTCGTGTTGTTTTGTGCAGCGCATTCCAGAGGCAACAAACAGCATCAGGTTTTTATTAGTTTAACATGCCATTGTCTCCTCCGTTTTAGTAACACTGACCTAAAAAAAACTGTGAAAGAAATAAACAACACACACATCAGAACAATTTTGCTCTTTTTTTCCCTTTCCCTTCTTTCTGGTCTGTTTGAAAATACCGTATTTTCCTACAGGTTAAAAATGATCTCAAATAAGAGCAAAATACAGAGGGCCCTGCTTTGCTCTTACACAAGGTAGCATCAATGGCACAACCTGAGCAACAGCTCAGGGTCGTTCCAGTAACATTGAACAATCATTTAATCATATTCAATCCAATTTTTCCACTGTTTTCCACGTAAAATTTGTCAAAATGGGTCTGTGACATGGTTTAAAGTTGACATCTATGCGGTTTGTCATTTGCATGACTTTGAAAGGCGAAAACGTGCAGAAATTTGAGGATTTGAATTTGGTGCTGTTGTGACTTTATATCATAACTCATTATTCAAGGGGATACCCACTTCTATGGTTTGCGCCCACTCAACTCTGGAAAAATGACTGATGGTGACAATGCAATGGCTCGCACAGTGCATGTGTCGAAGAGGGCATCAGAGTGCTCGATGTGCTACCATGCTGCATCACCATGTATATACTATATACTGTCTATATAGTATATAAGCTTCACTTGAGCTTCTGAGTGCCCGCTGGATGGCTGTGAGGTGGAAAAAAATGTATCCAGGGGGACCGGGCCGTCGGCGGGATTGAGGTCCCCCTGGAGGAAAAATTGCTGCACAACCTCGTGGCCACACAGCAAGCAATCTGAGGGAGACGGAAAGGTGTGAACCAAGCCATTCCCCAAGTGTTTCTCATTGTACGCCACGGTTATATTTTTTAATCAGTAATTTTAAATACTGTTACTCCTCGATGAGGAAGCCACACAACCGAAGGAGGATTAGGCCATTGCATGTGGCTGTGTGGCTTAAAACACGGAAATGTATTCGTAGCATGTGTGAAAGAAGACTGACTTGACGAAGGCATCCTCCATGCCAAACAACACAATTCTGGCCCGCTGAGTTCTAAGAGAGCCAACACAATGAAGAGAGGAGGCCACAAGACACACACATTGGGACCTAAACAATCAGAGCAAAGCCGTTTTCCATCTCTAATTAAGATGAACACATATCCAATGGGAGCAAAGCTTAACTACAATTTAAATATTTTTTAAATATGAACAAGAAAACCATTCAAAATGACAGTTATTTCTGAACAACGAAAATAGCTTGAAAAAGGGCATCCTGCGATTGAAGATTATCAAGGCATTTAAAATTACAAAAAACTTATGGCAAGGTACTTTTAACATCTCTATCATATATGCATACTTTTATGCTCATTCTTTCTCATTCTCATAGTGATGTTTCAGCTTGCCTATATTTCAGCAAATAAAAACTTTTTACAGGCCCAATAAATGAAACGAATACATCTGTTTTTTTATTCCTTCCATGCGCATATACGCAAGCTATTGCCAGATATGCTGAGGCAATCAGAGCAGACCCAGCTGTTGTCACTCGAGAAAGGACAAGAATGACTCTCTTGGGAAGTTCAAACACTTGTTTAGAAACACACAGAATCATTTGCTTAAACATCCAGAGCCATTCTCTTTCATGTGAGGATGTTTTATAAGATTGTCTTCCCTGACCTGGTGATGAGTACCGCGGTGTCATGGTGAGCGATGCCATTGTCAGGGATAGCGTTGCCATAACTGCTGCGGTGCTGGATAGATTTCTGCCATTTGCAGAAGCTGTCTAAAGACTTGCCTGCATGGTGATTAATCTCTAATGTGGGCTGATGATGAGGACAGAGACAAAAAAAAAAAAAAAGAGAGGAAATATGAACTCAGGGTGAAATCCAACATGAATTGCAGTCAATATGGAATTATACTGTACATTATACTGTACTTTATTATAGCTCACATAACCTGTTTGACAGACATCGGGACTGAAACAGACACAACAGAAAATCTTAATGAAAGTCAGACTGAAACAATAACAGAAACTTGATTATATGTCTCCTTTTCACCCGATGACAGACTGAACACAGGCTTCAAACATTACTTTTGATGTATTATCCTTGCCCAGGCCTGCCTGGCACTCTTGCCCCATTTCCTCTAGGAGCTAAACCTTATGGATCTGGCAGCTGCGTCAGCCTCCTCTAACAGTGTGGCTGTGACATCATACCGGCACATTATAACCCATAACTGAATGAATTAGTGAGGAAAGGAATGGCATACGCGGTAATTACAACAATTGAGAAGGTCCAACATTTTGCATTCTCTCCTTTTTGGGAAGAGACACGTAATCAATGGATCAAAGCAAAGGGGAGCGTACAAGAGAGTTGAAGAAGAGAGTACAGGCAAGATGAAGCAGGAGGAGAAAAGTGTTGAGGTGATCAGTGACAGAAGAGTACCAGGTCTATAAGACTATAAGAAGTCTATGAGACAAGCCATGTATGGTTTGGAGATGGTAGCAATGACCAGAAAACAGGAGACAGTCCGGGAGCTAGCAGAGTTGAAGTTGGTGAGATTCTCTTTGAGAGTCGTGAGGAAAAACGGGATCAGGAATGATCTTGTCAGAGCACAGACCGGAAGGTTTGGAGAAAAAGCGAGAGTGGCCAGATTGAGAGGGTGTGGATTTACAGAAAAAGACCAGCGAATGTACAGTATTGCTATAAGGAAGCTGGAAATTGAGCTGTCAGGTCCTGTCAGAGCTAAAGAGGGAGACCATAGAGGGTATTTATCGGTGTGTTCACAATGTTACGCTGAAACAGATTCCCTTTCATCACAGAAGTGCTATTGACCAATCAACAAATTGCAGTCTGTCCAGCTCCAAACTTTTATGACAATATCCATGCAGTTGGATATTGTATAAGGGTGTGGTGCTCTATGGATCAGTTATTGTGGAACACTTTGCAATTTTTGGCAGTGGCAATTGAAAAAGACATGCAGTATACTAGACTCTACTGCTTGCAGGACAATACGTGAGGGTGATTCATGTTTTGCTTGGGATTAAAAGACTTAAAAGTAGGGATGTTTGATACCACTTTCTTCTGACTGATATCAATACAAGTGTTGATTTTTTGAATACTCACCGATACCTAGAACTTCCTCTGTGTCAGATTTTTTTTTTTTTTTGCCTTAAGTATTTGGTGATTTATGTCGGCAGCACTCACAAGTATCCAATACCAGTATCGTCCCGATACAAAAAAAATGATATTGTACTCGCCCATCCCTCCCTAAAAGTATGTAAGACCCTTCTTTGCCCTAATTACAGTACTGTACTAGTAAGAATTTACTTAATGGCACACTTAACGCCACATGCTTAATGTCTGGCTATCTTGGTAAAGTTGTCAACTTGCCAGGTTTCAGAATTATGCTGGAAAAGTCGGACATCATGTCGAGCTGCGTTGAGACAGTCCAAGATGTACTACAGTTAAGCATCCCAGTGTCATCACATCAGGGAGCAGAGGGCCGCCGCTAGACCTCAGCTTTCCATTTTATTGCTTTAAATCACTCTCTGCATCCAATCACACGCATGGATGAATGATAAGTGAGAGGGTCCGTTCTGGTTTAATGCAATTACATTGAGCAGAAGGAAAGGAGTATCCTGCTGGCCACAGCTGGCTACAACTTGTAACCTAGGAATGCATGTGGTGACATAAAAATGGAATGGTCTCATCCCACAGCTCCTCTTTTCTGGGCACACTGCACTCCTGATTTGTCTTTCCAAGCGCGGAGTCATTTTTTCAGACTTGGAAACTAGTCATAGAACTTCTTACCAAAACTACTTTCAATACCCCTCCCAACCTCAAGCCAACAACCCTTGGAGAAAGGACAACGCCACTAATGAGCCGAACATTTATTTCCCCAAGCCAAGTGGTGAGTTATGGAGCTAATTTTTAGGCTGTAGGTAAAGTATAAATCATTACTCTTTCCCTTTTGGGACAGCAGGAGGAAACCTCAAAGCCACACAGTAATGACAGTTTAATACATCTTCATCCATAAAACCACAAGCGGGTCAACATTAGATTGCATCCTGCGGCACTGTCTCGCCACACACCGTTAGTGGAAACCTGTTACATTTATTCATCACTGGAAAAGGGCAAGTAAGGTGCAAGTTGGATATGACAGGAAAGGTTCGTGTGTTACCTGGTCCTCCATGAGCAGGATGAGTCGTGTCACCACGATGTTGACTGCATTCCCCAGGCTAGAATCCTGGAACAGTTTGGCAACCTGACCTCCAGGGAAACAAGAAAAGACCAGTCTTAAAAAGCTGACATAGTCGTCCATTCCAACAGCTTGGGGAAGAACTGGAGATGAATGGTTATGGACTGCCACAATGTATCCCACTGGATTTGGGGGTATTTTGAAACACATTTCAATTCAGGAGCAAATAGGGATGTAATGATATCCAAACGTCATAAATACAATATTATCACGAAATAAACCTCGCAATACAATAATTATTATGATATTGTGGCGAGATTGGCCATAGGAAAAACGACGGTGTTGTATAAAAATTCGCAATATCATTATAAATAAATAATTTTTTTTTTTTTTTTAAGCTAATACATTATAACAGCAGTGACAAATTTTATTGTCATGTGTTCCTATTGGATCAGCGGTATCAAGGTCTTATGTAGGTCACAATGCTGTGTTCGGCTGACATGGCGAAAAGTCATGTTTTACGAAAGCGATGTGCTGCTTTTAATGACGACAAGTAAATGAAAGCACAGCTAGGCTGAAGTTGTTCCACTCAGGTGAATATCACCGGCATTTTGACTGCTTTGACTCAATTAATCATGTAAAATACATGTCCACATGGGCGGCCAGGTGGTCCAGTGTTTAGCGCGTCGACCTCAGAGTACAGAGGTACAGGGTTCAATTCCAACTCCGGCCTGCCTGTGTGGAGTTTGCATGTTCTCCCCGGGCCTGCGTGGGTTTTCTCCGGGTACTCCAGTTTCCTCCCACATTCCAAAAACATGCATAGCAGGCTGGTTGAGCACTCTAAAATGTCCCTAGGTGTGCGTGTGAGCGCGGATGGTTGTTCGTCTCTGTGTGCCCTGTGATTGGCTGGCAACCGGTTCAGGGTGTCCCCCGCCTACTGCCCGAAGACGGCTGGGATAGGCTCCAGCATCCCCCTTGTGAGGATAAAGCGGAACGGAAAATGGATGGATGGACATGTCCACATCTCAGCTGCAGTTACAAACAAAGAAACGTCAACACGTTCAAAATGAAAGTGGAACTGGTGTTTGTGATGGATTGTAAGTGTTGTGAGGAAAAAAAAAAAGTCATGATAAGTTTAAGACAAAGAATGTTCAGATTTCTAAAGCAGAGCAAAACTACTAGACTCGACTGTAACCCCGAAAGTACAATGGGCAAATATCAATAGTTTATGAAGAAGACTGCATTGCCTGTATTACAAGTGCCAACAATGACGGAAAAAAAAAAAAAACCTGGCAACCCAAGCTGTACTCTTGTCATTACAGGTTTCAACAGTAATTTGGAATACTTTGCACCATAGACCTAGAACAGCTTGTATCGAACCTGCTTTTCAACAATAGCCACGAAACAACCATTCATTAGGCACATTCCAAATGTGTGTGTATTGGTAGAAGTGAGGAAGTTGGTGGTGAGTGATTCCCAGTGGGACAAAACATTGCAGCTGACAAAATATGGTAGTCGACCTCCCACCGTCAAGCCTAATTTTAGTTTATATTTGGTTTCTTCATATAGCATCTTATGGAGAGCCATGTTTTCAACCAACTCGGGCACCCGTGTGTTTAAAATGTTAAAACCAAACATTTCATTTTATCTATTGTCAAATTATATTGTATGGCCAAAAGCAATGGGACACCTTTGTCCCAATCATGAATTTTATTTGCATTATTTATTCTGCATTTATTATTTTATCATTTTAATTGCACATTATGTGGTTTTAAATATTCTATGATGTTTTCTTATTTTGTTCTTTTGGTTATGTAAAACACATTTGATTGCCATCGTGTATGAAATGGGCTGTGCCTAGAAACTTGCATTGCCTTGACTTGCCTAAATTTGGAGTTGGTTTGCCATTTTTAGCAAGAACAGCTTCCCATTCTTCTGGGAAGTATTTCGACAAGATGTTGAAGGGAGTCTGTGGGTATTTTTGTGCATTTATCCAGTCGGGCATTTTTGACGTCAGAAGCCTAAAATGAAGACTGAAAATCTTTTATAGTTTATCTCAAATGTGTTTGACGTGGTTTGATGTGGTCAGGGCTCGCGAGTGCTTCCACACCAAACTCATTCCATTATGCCCCCAATCAAGCTTGGAACAGAAAAGTCTCCCCAAAAAGATCTCATTGAGTTGGAAAACTGGAATTTTCCAAAATGCTTATGGAGTGGAGAACTACAATTGGCTTACTCTACTGCTAGGAACAGTGCCGTGAAACGGATTTGCATTCTTCTCAAATTTTTAAAATTCTTGCACAGTTTCACCACTTAAATGTTCAAGCACATTTTTACTAAAATGCAAATTTTAAATGGTGATCATATTTATTCAGGAAAACTATTTGGCCCTGTGTAAAAAAATACTTGCCCCCATAACCTAATAACCGGTTGGGCCACGCAACAAATGAAAAGCAACAAGCGATCTATTTCAATGAGTCCTCCACATCTCGGTTGTGATATTTTGACCCAGTATTCCTTGCAGAATAGTTTTAATTCAGCAGCACTAGAGAGTTTTCAAGCATGAACAGTCTTTTTAAGGGCATACCACAGTATTTCAATCGAATTCTAGTCCAGACTGTTACTAGCCAACTCCAAAATCTTTTTTTTTTTTTTAAACCACTCAGAAGTTTACTTGCTGGTGTGTTTTAGATAATTGCTGCACAACACAAGTGCGCTTCAGTTGAGGTCACACACTGATGGCCGAACATTTTTCTTTAGGAATTTTTAGGAAAGAACAAAATTGAAGGTTCCATCAATCACAGCATGTGTCCCCAGACCATCAAACTACCACCACCATCTTTCACTGTTGGTATGATGCTGTGTTACATTTATACCAGATGAAATGAGACACATGAACACAACTTACAAAAAGTTCAAACTTTTGTCTCGTCAGTTCATGCAATGTTCTCCCAAAAGCCTTGGGAATTATTCTTTTTTTTCCCTCAAGATGAGCTTTTAGGGTTCTTTCTGGTCAGCCGTGCTTTTTTTTTTTTTGCCTTGGAACTCTGCCATGGATGTCCATTGTTGTCCAGTCTCTTCTTTACTGTCGAGTCATGACCACCTGACCCTCTCTAATGCAAAGTAGGCCAGCTTTTTTTTAGATGTGGTCCAGGGTTCTTTTTTTGCGACCTCCTGGATGAGGCGGCACTCCACTGTTGGTGTCATTTCTGTAGAACGACTGTTCACCACTCTTGTATGTTTTCTCCACTTGGACAGAATGGCTCCTACCGCGGTTGACTGTAGTCCTAAAGCTTCAGGAATGACTTTGTTTCTTATATGTTTTTGAAATTTGTTGGATCATGGCATTTGGTTGGCTCCATTTTGTCAGCCAGTTTTTATTTATGTAATTTATGAAGTGAACCGTTCAGGAAGAAATCAGGCTTGGTATGGTTAGTAAAAATGAACTCAGCTTTCCCAAAAAATGTGATGAGCCACAGAAGGCCCACTGAAGGGCCCTCCGTCATCTGTCAAAACAAATCGCTGATGCACGTCGTCAGCTGAGTACATGTGTGAACATGTTATACATCTTTTAAAAGCTGAGTTTCTGGAGATTTGAATGGTACCCTACATGTTACAATTGTCGAATTTGAACCGGAACTTGGGGAGACCTCAAGCGGAAATACTTTGTCACACAGGGACAGATCATTTTGAATAGTTTTTGATCCTTGTTAAATAAAATCATCATTTCAAAACATAATTTTGTTTACCTGGGTTATCTTCGATATTTATATTAGTTTGGTGATCTTAAACATGAAAGCAGGGACATAATGCAAAAAAAAGTTAGAATTTGAGAAATGGGCAAATACTTTTACATGGCCTTGTAAGTCTGCAATTGCCCCGTGATCAGTTGAAGGTCTACCCCGCCTAAGTGCCTGAAGATGGCACGACTGCGACCCTAATGAGGATAAGCAGTTCAGAAAATGTATAGATGCATTGCAGGTAGGGTGAGTAGATAGGTAGGTCGATACTTTATCGATCCTGTACAAAATTCTGGAAAGCAGCAGGTTCAACTTTACCCGCATCATCATTGTAAAAGTGTTTCTTGTGTGTAGTGAAACTTACAATATTCATGAGGGCCAGGATGTACTGCTCGATGTCCTTACGACCATGGTAGCCCACCATCATCTTGTCAGCCACCACCAGCGTCTCCACGTAGCGCTCCCAGCTCACCGAGCGCTTTAGTGGCAACTGGCCTCGTCCGACATGATGAGGAGGCGTCTTCAGCGTCCTCTGCCACCATGATGAGCTCTTCACTGACTTCTCATCTAAGGAACAGGATGCACATTTTGATCATAGTACCACATGCTGCATATCCTCTCAACAAAGCCACAAGAATGATTTCTGAAAACCCCATTCCAAGACTAGTGGCTGGATAAAGACTAACTCTGATGCTATTTTAACTTTAACTTTTGTCATAAAATGAATTATATATTTACTCAGCAACGCCCTGTCACACAGACTTGGTCACAAATGGGAACTCAGACACCACCGCAGTCCACAATGCAGTCGGCCATGTGGTTTGACTCCGGACCTCACCGCTAATTCTAAAATAGGCCAGAATTGTTCCCATTCTTACCAATGACTCCACAAGACTGGCCCTTGTACTGATGGCGGAGGGATGAGCGCTTATAAACCACATGGGGGCGCCCCTCAGCCCGGTCCCCTCTCTCCGGTTTGGTTTGGTTTGCTGATGAAATAAGAGGTTCGATCAGGTACTCTTCTCCCCCAGCAACAATCACCCCCTGCTGCAGAAACAAAACAACACAATGCAACAGTCACAGTGAAGCCAATTGCAAATTTCGATACCGTGCCAGTCCCTACGGATCACTTGAGGGAACACCAAGTCTTTGCTTTTCATGGTTTCATGCAAGTCAACTGACCGCGATTGTGCTGTTGTCCAATTTACAAGAGAAAAAGCCATCAAGATAATTACACGACAGTATATCTATTACTATGTAGTCATAATTGCCATCACCGATACACTTTGATCGGGCTCTTTGTTATATAGTATGAATGGGATACATGGAACACATTCAGACAAACCCATGTGAAAGCATGCATGAGAAGAGCGAGATGAACCCATCGCACACGGGGTGACAACACTTTTGATTCTGTTTAGATCTGCCCGCCTCAACTCAGAGCCAGCTTCTCCGTTCCATCCACCGCGGCAGCTATCAAAGAGCATCTAATCCCATAATAAAGTTAGTGATGCTCCCGTGGACATACCACCCGCTCGCTGGATGAATGTGTTCATGCTGGCCTGCCCAACAAAGTAATTAAGTGTGTGCTTTATTAACGCTCCGTGAACACATCTAATCTTCAGCTGCGCATGCAAGTGTTATTGTGGGGCCTGCTGTGTGTGGTGAGAGGATACACAGCTACACTGAGATACGACTGTAGGGAAATGGGCTCGGACAAATAAAATGATCAGCGTCAAATTTCAAAATGTTAAGTGTATGCCAGCCCTCTGTTGTGGTGTCTGGAAGGGACTTCATGACAGTATGAGGCAGTTCAGATGGCAATCATAGTTTACAAAAAGATAAGTAAATGTACTGGTGCTTTGGATGGTTGTTTAAACTTTCAGAGTGTTCAAAACAGGTGTTTGGCACATCTTTATGTCTTTTGTGCCTTGTTGACTGCTGCTTTGTGCTTTTTGACTGACCTAATGATCTCTTACATTTTTAAAAACTGCCTTAAAATAATCTTAAGACACGCCTGTTCAGCAGTGATTAGAAGCTGGGTATTTTCAGCAAATTTCAGAGCCTTTGGAAGTCCACTTTGTGGTTCAGCTTTGGGACAAAGTATGAAGGGTTTCTTCAAATCCAGCTGGCTCTGTGTTCTCCTGGTTCTTTCTGTGCAATACTGTGAATGCCTCTTTTAGAGAGTAGTGTTCAAATGTGCCTGCAGACAGGGCATTTTAAAATCAGATCAAAATAAGGCATCCACTTTCTATCGCTCTTGTTCTCATTGGGGTCGTGGATGAGGGTCAAGAAAAGCAAATACTGTAAATAATCCATCAATTCATCTGGGCAATTTGCATGAAGGCTCTGTGCATTTGTGGCTTTTCTACATACTCCGGCTTCCTCCGACGTTCAAGAAGCATTCAGCAGGTCACTTTCACAGAAGACTAAAAATATTCTTTCGGTGTGAAAGCGAATGTGGATGGTGGTCGTCTATACGTGCCATGCGATTGTCTGGTGACCAATCTATACCATCACTCCCCCAAAGTCATCTGGGGTAGGCCCCAGCTCACCCATGAGCCTCAACAGGATAAATGGTCAAAATGGATACGTGATGGCGACAGGTTGAATTAATTACATTTCCATCATTTTATATCCTGAACACGTATCTTCGATTCAAAGTCCAATTATATATACGGACGGAGATGATCGGGAGTACAGGGGACTGACGGAGGACTTCATGGACTGGTGCCTGCAGAACCACCTCCAGATCAACCCCAGGAAAGCTAAGGAGTTGGTTGTGGATTTCTGCAGGAAACTGTCTTCACCTGCACCGATGAACATCCAGGGTACGGTCATTGAGAGGGTGACCTCCTGCAAGTACCTGGGTGTTCTTCTCAACAATGAACTAGATTGGTCTAACAACACGGACTCTCTGATCAGGAAGGGGCAGATATTCCTGCTCAGATAACTGAGGTCTTTTGGAGTTCAGGGGTCACTCCTTAAGACCTTCTATGACTCTGTGGTGGCCTCAGCCATTCATTATGGCATAGTCTGCTGGTCAGGCAGCATCTCAGCCCGGGACAGAGGGATACTGGAACGACTGGTCAGGAGCGCCAGCTCTGTCCTGAGCTGCTCCCTGGACACTCTGGAGGAGGTGGGCAACAGGAGGATGCTAGCCAAGCTAAAAGCTATGATGGACAGACCCTCCCATCCCCTCCAGACCACCCTGACAGCACTGGGCAGCTCCTTCAGCCAGAGACTGATACACCCACGCTGCAAGAAGGAGAGGAACCGCCGCTTGTTCCTGCCGACTGCTGTCAGGCTATCGAATAGACAGACCTGAAAACCTGGACTCACGCCCACTCACCCATTTTATATAATATATAATTAAATATGTTTTTCTATATATATGGGCGGCCCGGTGGACCAGTGGTTCGCGCGTCGACTTCACAGTGCAGTCCGGTTTCCTCCCACATTCCAAAAACATGCATGGCAGGCTGATTGAACACTCTAAATTTTCCCGAGGTCTGAGTGTGAGCGTGGATGATTGTTCGGCTGTGTGTGCCCTGCGATTGGCCGGTTCAGGGTGTCCCCCGCCTAATGCCCGAAGACGGCTGGAATAGGCTCCAGCACCCCCCGCGACCCTTGTGAGGATAAAGCGGATTGGAAAATAGATGGATGGGGATATATGTGTGTGTGTATATATATATATATATATTGTCTACTTTTGTTCTTCTACTTCTCCCTTTCATAATTTTGCTGCTGTAAATTGGGAATTTCTCCACTGTGAGACAAATAAAGGGTTTCTTATCTTTTTTTGTTTTTGTTTATGCCTAAATGATTTGGCTTTTTCATTTTCAACCACACTTTGTATACTGGTGATATTGAAAAAATAAATAAATAAACTTGGAATTTGCACTCTTACCAGGCCATTGCAGTTGCTGAGGGCCACTTTGCTGGAATGCGGCTGGTCCTGGAGGTGTCCGACATAATGGCAGTGGGGAGAATAAGGCTCACTCCAGGCTAATCTGCCTCTTTTCCAGTACTCCACCCTAAACTGGTGGGCTAACAGGCCTCCCTGCAGCGTCAGGTTCAGCATGAAGTTGTTGCGTGACGTAGATAGCTGATAGTAGAGCTGAGAGATGGACGAAAGTTAGAGTTGAACATAAAGCAACATTTTATAACTACTTTATGATAATGCAATTTAAAAGGCAATTATACAGAGGTGTCAATCGATGTTGTTTCTTCTGTACTGCGTCTTCTTCTGTGGTAATGAGAGGCTTTTGTGTGCAGAGTCTCTCCATTGGGTCCTACGCGCACTGGAATTGCAATCTCATAGTGGCCAAGACTGGACAGGAAGGTAGCTATGGAAGGAAACAAAATGAAGGCATAAAACAAAAATAAATTCAGAAAGGCTTCAGATTGATCACGCATTACTTTTAATATTGAGTCACTGGTGGTGTATTGGTACATTTGCCAGATTTCAGTGCAGGTAAACAGGGTTCAGTTCCCACACAGCCACTATGTGAGAATGAATCTTTGTCTGTCTCTATATGTGTCCTGCGACTGATTGACGACCAGTCCAAGGTGTAGTCCACCTTTTGGCCGGGATAGGGTCAAGATCCGCAATAGCAGGATTAGCATATAGAAAATGGATAGTTTTAATATTTCTTAAAGAAACTGATTCAAGCGGCCAATGAAACAATGTTCGGGAAACTATTTTTAGATTGTTGCTGGCACTTTCACTCTGGCTACGTCTTCAGCAAGACGCAAAGGGATGTCTCATGATTACTCTCAAACTATATACAGTACTTCAGTCTGTCCCAATCTGAACCAGGGTCTGGTGGAAGAGATTTACAGTAAAAAAAATAAAAACAATACAGAGCACCAAATACTCAGTGTTAATTACATCCAACGTATGGCCTCTGGAGAGCAGCAGCTGCCGCACTGTTCAAGAATTTCTCATAAAAAAATAAGCATTTCCTCTTCTCACAAACAATGAGACAGGTGCTATTGTCCTGACAATTCTGACAATAAATGGCAGGGTGTTAATTAGTTGTCAGTATTGTTACCCTCCACGGACGACAGTTCATGAGACCTCACAAACTACAAAACGTATTTGTCACTCACAAACAAGGCAACAATGAAAGCCACCTACACACATTAATTTAATTCAATTCACGTTATTTCAAAAAGATCCTCATGAAATACCGCTGGAAATAAAAAATAAAGTGATTAAATGGGTAATGATTGTGTTGGTGCTGCTTTTAGAGTTGCTTCAAGTCACAACAATAAATATGAAACACATGTTGCAGTGCAGTGCTGTTTGGGTATTTTAACGGAACAACAACACCGTGTCTTAACCACATTCAATCAATTAGAGGGGAGACATTTACATGCATGGTTAGATGGTGATGACAGTTCTCGTGTTTATATATCGATTGACTACAGATGATTCCAAAGGCATGCGGAGACACACCTCTTGACTTCACATCTAAAAAAAAAAAATGTGACATCTGTTTTAAAACACGTTCTATGATGTTTTCTGGAGAAGCAGTTTTGCTTTTGCACTCGCTTTATCAGACCTAGGAATGTTTTTTTTTTTAACTTGTCAAGTTCTAAATCACCGAAAAAAGATGAGTCATTTAATTCTACTGATTGTTAGAAAAATTATTGAAATTATTTTGTCTTTTTTTTTTTATAAGATTTAAAAAAAAAAAAATTTATAGCATGTCTTTCCCTTTCTGCATCCATAATATGCAGATGATCAGAGAGAACTTTTGGCTCTCACCTCACCTCCGATTGAATGATTAAGATGTGAACCTCAAAATATGAGTTGTGCATCTATTTCTATCTGCCAAAGTTGATAAACTAGAATGCTTTTTACCGCAGATTTAATCTTTTCATACATCATGACTCATGAGAATAGAAATGTGTGAACATGCTAAATTTAGGCCATCTCATAAATGCTCCCAAACATCTACGAGCAGGGCATCACCCTTGTTTCGCTTATCAGCAGTGGAAGGAAATACTCTGGATGGAAAATGGTCCTCCCTCCACACGGGGCATGAGGTCAACAGACGCTCAGAGCAAAAAGCCTCTTTTTGAAACAATAGTCACAAGAGCAGTAATCTACAGTGATATACTTCAAACTCCAATAAGAGTGGAGGGAGTTTTCTGCATATTACATTACACTAACAGACTTTCAAAGTAGTGGTAGCGGAATATTTGTAAAAAGATAGCACTCATACAAAGGATGACAATGGAATACCAGAACACTGTAACGAATCATTATTGTAAGAAATGCAATATGTCAGTCATTATCTGTAATAAGATTTGTTCTTATTTTCAGGCAATCCTATTTATCTGTTGTTTAGCATCAAACTGTTTTAGCCGTTTATTCCGGTTGCAACAGTTGGAGAATGGGCCCTCCAATAATGCCTCTTGTGCAGTGTCAGTGTGTTTCTCTCGTGAGGAGGGGAACTTGGTTAACCGATATATGTTTCATTGGAGAAGCCAAATTGCATCATCATAATTTTCTGTGAGTCACTGAAAAGCAGACCCCATTTATGTGTGTTTTTAATATTAAGTACACTATGCAATGTGACTTAAACCTACCACAGATAAAAACATCACTGGTACCCGGCCTTTAACGGGCTTTCATTTTTGAATATAGATTTACTTCTTGTAACATAAATAGATAATAAAACTACACTGTAAAAAAAATAAAAGTTGAGTGAACTCAAAATACACCATTAAATTGGCCATTTCCCCCAAAATATTTAATGTTTTGCGAATATGACAAGTGGCTTTGCTCCATTTTCAAGAATGAATAACGAGTTTACAGAATTAATTGTCCATTGTATTATCACCTGACTTAAAGAAAAGTAAAAAAAAAAACAAACAACCTCAAGAAGCTATTTTGGGGCAAAAAACTCGCTTGCTTTGTTTTGTTAACACTGTTACCATAAACGTCAATAATTCATATTTTAACATACTTAAAATACTGTTTTAGCCCCCCAAAAATACAAGTTGTGTTTTTTACAGTGGAGTGGTTTTCAAATATGAGTAGGCATACTTTATGAGAAAGTAGCGAAAAAAAATAATAAATAAAATGTGATTTCTGAAGACTCATGACATTTAAAGTTGGACAATTCAACAAAATATTTTGTTGTTATGAGAATTGGCTTTTCTGCATTTCACAACAAAGAAATAAGAGTTTACAGAACGATTCTGCCAATTATTGAACGCAAACTCAAAAATATAACTAAAAAGAACTTGCTTGCATTGTTGCACTAGTAGTGTTGCCATAAATTTTAGTATGTTTTTCCATCTCTCTCTCTCTCTCTCTGTCTGTCTGTCTGTCTGTCTGCGTGCATGTCTGTCTGTCTGTCTGTCTGTCTGTCTGCGTGCGTGCGTGCGTCACACGTTCGACATTAATCGTTCTACACCGGTACCCACAGTGGGTATTGTAGGTAAATAAACGCATGACTTAGCTTTAAAGAGTTTTAGGCGGCAAGTGTGGGATGCCAGTAGCATATATAAGCTTCCCACTGCCCGATAAACCATCCCCAAATTTTGAGACGCTAGATTAATGTAGCTGACTAGGTTTCTCAAACGCACCTTGACTGACATGGCAATTAAAAATCTCACCAGGCAACCACAGCCATCACAGATTGTCAAGTTTGTCCATCCCATCCACCTGCATCGTCTCACGACCCACGACCATCCTATTCTCTCCACAGTGGCCTGAAACGAGGCTGCTGTGGCCACCACAAACTTTCTGTAAACGGATCCCAAGTGAATTTCAGAAGTTTACTCTCGGTGCATGTTAGCAAACAGCTCTCTATTTATATGTAAATTGCAATGAGCCTGTACAGTGAGTTTGCAGATGATTACATTATTGTCCCAGGATAAATAATTTAGTATTCCTTCTAAGCTGATACTGTTTATTGCATTGAGAAATACTAAATATGTGACCTCAAACTGAAACCTCCTGCAAAAGAAAAACTATAGCTTGAAAAGTGTGGTTCCTAAAAAAAGCAGCATGGCAAACGTTTAAGACAACTGGCTGTGATGGGGTCAGATGTCATGTTGAGGAAATATACAATTACATCTTTGTTCAGGGTGACTAGACATGTACACTCTTTCCCTTTGGGGGATTTTGGTAATTCGAGACTCAAGTGTATGTGGGGGATGGGGTCACACTGAGAGACCTGGATCTGTTTCACGAAATGTGAGGTGGGCAGCCACGCGTCTGTGCAACAAATGTTAGATTTGTGAGGAGGGTGGGCTGGAGCCAGGAAATGCAGGGGGGGCGGGGAATTCAAGTTATGTCGATCTTTGGTGTGCATGAGCCATCAATGGAGCCAGGAAATGCAGGGGGGGCGGGGAATTCAATTTAATGTCGATCTTTGGTGTGCATGAGCCATATGAACTTTAAAGGTGGTCAGACCCCCATCACAATGTCAAGCATTTTGACAAGGTGTCCAAACCACAAAATAATTCAACATTATTAATAAAACATTTTTATATATCATATAAAGTGCCCTGTGATTGCCTGGCGACAATTAGAGGTGGACATTTTTTTCCGGGAATCCCTTCACCTGAAAACACTGGATTGGGACAGGATAGGATAAAAAGGTCACGGGAGCAGTTGGAAGTGGGATTATCTAGTAAAACAACAAAAAAACGTTTGGACAGATGCACAACCATTTTTAGTGTATCTCCAAAATGGGAGCAGGACGGAAGTAGGAGTTGTTTTGATCAGGAATTGGACAGGACCGTTTTTTTTATGGTCCGGCACTGGGATGAGACGGGATATTTTTCTGTGGAAGTGGGATGGCTACTCCCATATCACCCTCTAGCAATCATTCCAGGGCACACCCCGCCTCTCGCCCAAAGTCAGTTGGGATGGGTTACAACACACCCGCAACCCTACTGAGGAAAAGCAGTATCGAAAATGGATGGATATCTAATTAAATCTTTTTACCTCTATAAAGCTGAATTCCATCAGGTGCACAATACAGTATTATGTACAAAGCAACTGTAGTGTCTAAAAATGATTCAGAATGAATGATTACAGATGTTGTGTGGATGACTTTCTGAGGTTAACTTTACAATGTCACTTTCCAAATCCATGATTTCAGGAGATCGCATAAGCAATAGCTGTTTTGTTGTTTGCTTGTTTGTTTGTTTTTTTCTTTTTCAAAATCAAGTTTTGTCCGTCCACTTAATATTTTGCAAGGTTTTTTTTTTTTTAAGCTTTGTTCGAATATGAATGGACACAGGTACTGTGGATGATACTACTGGATGTAACTTCCCTGGCAGGATTAATGTTTGGGTTTACAGATAGCTGCTAAGTCGTAACCGTCTCCTCTCACCTTGTGATTGTGCAAACTCATCTCTGCGACCTCCTGCGACCTCTGCGGCACCCATGACGACAACGACAGTGCAGATCAGTGCAGTCCTCCATAGCATTTCCATGATCACTACAGAAGTAGCTATAGTAACAGAATTCAGTGCAGTGATTCCCGGGCTTCGGTCCCAACATGTCTCCTGCCCTCTCTGGCGCCCCCTCGCCTAGCAGTGGGACAGCTCAAGAGTCTGATTAGCCATGGCTTGAGGAGGTGTGGAGTCAGACATGGCAGCTTCTCTCGAGCGTCTCTCTCAGCAAGTAATGATGGATCCAGGAGGAGGTCTCCAGATGTGAACCGACAGACCCACGAAGAAACCAGTTTGAAGGCAACTGTATGAGCAAACTCTTCGTCGCAGCCCTGCAAAGGGAAAGTTTAACAACATGAGGGAATTTGAAGAAAGAGATGAAACAAGGCAAATGCAGGCTTTGTGAAAAATAAAGCTGTTTTACAATATGTAAACCCAGAAGGGTCAGGGTCTTGAGCTCCGAGTATTGCACGTCTCAAAGCTAATCAATCCTGGCTTTGGCAAAGGCCAAACACCCTATCTTTCACTCTGATGGTCAAAGACAACGGCAAGTTCAAACCTGAGGCCCCCTGGGCCTCAGTCTTTAAGCTGCCTGCCCACCGGAAAGAGTTCAAACACAAAGAAAGCATTGACGCTGTTAAAAGCTGTGCTTAATGCCCAAACAGGGACTTAGGTGGGTATTATGTCAGAGATCTAGGGGTAAAATGAGCCAATTTGAGAGGAGCAGCAGGTTGCCATCACCGCTATGCTGGCTGGCTGTGCTGTTGGTTGCATGGCCGAGTGAGTTGCAGGCTGAACGCTTGACTGTGCAGCTTATAATCGGCTAACATTCTGGCAAGTCAACTGCTACTACAGTCGGGTCCATTTGAGACTCAGCGGAAACGTTAAGGGAGCCGATAAGATAAGAGTTACTATTCATCAATCACAATGCTAACTTGATTAGCATTCAGAAGAGTGCATACCACCACCGAGTCTGAATTCTTACCAAAGTGAACAAAGATTCGTGGAGCACCGTGTTAGACGTATGTTCGTTGGCATATGTATCGTCAGTAAGCAGGCCACCTCTCAGAAGATCACGTAAATTACCAAGAGGCTGTTTAATTTTTAAAAATACATTTTTACACTTTATGAGTTCTTCCTTCACCAATATACCATGCCTCTACAAAGGTTTTATATTAATTGTGCAGTCTTGCTAAAATTCTGTCCAAAAAACTAAGGCCCCTTCACATTGCATTTGAGCGCCTTAAATCTACTGACACGCTGCAATGGAAAAACTTCAACCCTGTATCGGGTGTAGAATCTCCACATCCAATATACTTTACCATTTTTTTAATTGAACCGAAAAACATGGAAGTGGCTTGCAACAAAGAGAAGGAACAGATGAGATAAATGTTGAGAGAAGATACATTTTGATACTGAAATGCCATGCCATTCTCTGACTGCACCCATGCGCGACAGTTTAGTCATGTTCTGCTGCATCACTCGATATACAGCGGACCTTACATGCCAGCCAACAAATGGCGAACAAAACAATAATTCCTGTATAATTTGGGAACTACAAAAGCAAGGTCACGGCAGACCAAAATGTAGCCCATCTGACAGCTTTCAAAATGTCCAATGCATTCCAAAAAGAAAATGGATGAAAGAACACATACAGGAGTGTAAGATACAGTTTCAGCAATATCAAACCAAGGTCCTTCTAATCATAAATTGCCCACATCATTCGGTGCATTTGTGACTCTCACTCAAATATTTCCTCGTCGGAACTCAATTTTGACCATGTGCTGGGGCTTTTTTGGGATCAAAAACGTGATCTCACCCAAGGCAATTTAGTGATTGTGTTCCTTTTTTAAAATTTTCCTTTGTTTAAAGAATTCAAAGCTCACCAATGAGAAGCATCATGCTACTTGTGGACAGGTCACACTAACCCAGGGATGGGGAAACTCCGGTTGCTCAAGAGCCATATCCTGCCTGTTTTAGATCTCTTCCTACGCCTACACACCTGATTCAATTGATCATGATTGTTTCAGGCTTCTACGGAGCTTGCTGATGAGCTGATCGTTTGAATCAGGTGTGCTGAAGCAGAGAGAGATCTAAAACAGGCAAGATCTACTCTCAAAGAAGCGGAGTATCCTACTGTTGCAGTAACCAATCAGCTCCTGAGATCTACACAATAGGTTCTCAAAATTACTCTCAGTATATTTTTTTAAATAACTTCTCTTTGCTAATGGACCTCTCCTTTTTATTTCTTGAAGTGATTTAATTACATGAACGTAAAAGCTGTTGACATGAAAATGCACAATTCAAATGAAAAAAGGAGAGAGAAGAATAAATATAATTTCCTAAAATCGTTCAGACCTATCATATATGCATTGCATTATAATCAAATTTGACATACAGTACATAAAAGATTAGTATGGAAGAAAGCCTATTTCCACAGCCTGTTCCTGTGGTGACAACAAACAGTTCACAGTCGATGATGGTGCGATCTGAGTTATACCCCGTTGATTATGGAATCCACAGTGGTTTTAAATATATGGCAAGAAGTTAAAGATTAAAAGCAATGGTGCATGTATAAATGTCACATGGGTAATTATAATGATGTACAGCTCGGATTTTTTCAATTGCAGGATATGAAGGGCCACAGAGCTCCCTTTCAGCAATAGCAACTAGACTTAGGCAATGTTTAGCACAGTGGTTCTTAACCTGGGTTCAATCAAACCCTAGGGGTTCGGTGAATCGGTCTCAGGGGTTCGACGGAGCCTCTGCCATGGAGGGTAAGACACACGCGACTCAACATGTCGATTTTCGTGTTGACCCGCCCGCTTGGCCATCACTGGCTGCAGATGATCACATGACATTGCTTGTCCAATCAGTGCTGTGGAAAATTTAGTTTACCTAGTAGTCAAAGTGTGACTGTCGTGATAGTACAGCGTACAACTTTAAAAAAAAAAAGTATACTTATCTCTTGAAATTTTATTTACTTTTTTTTTTGTTTTTAATAAATGGAAAACAAAACGAAACATAAATATCTATATATATATATATATATATATACCGTAATTTACGGACTATAAGCCATGACTTTTGTCACACGCTTTCAACTCTGCGGCTTATTTCATGAAGCGGCTTACATAAAGACTTTTCTAACGGCCGCCTGTGTACCGTCTTTCTTTGTAAATATCTCATGTTACAATATGGGCACCTGCAGCTTATACACAGGTGCGGCTTATGTGTGTACAAAATATTTTTTTCCTTTAAAAATGTAGTGGTGCGGTTTATAATCAGGTGCGGTCTATAGTCCAGAAATTATGGTGTGTGTTTTGTTTTTTTCACTAATGAAGGGTTCGGTGAATGTGGCTGTGTCGTGTTATGCAAGGTCAGGTTTCAAATGATCTGATCCACTCTTGGCATTATTGTGATGTATTGTTTTTTTTAAACAACCGGATTAATTTCAACCAAAAATATGCAGAAATCCATGGCTCTGTGAGATAATTGAACTCTCATTTCCATGCTCTTTTCTTCTACTATGAAAGTGATTCATAATAAATAAATAAATACATACATTATTTCTCCTATCTTCCGCCAGTTACAAGAATAAGGGAAAACAAGTCAGATAAGAACCAGGATCAGGAGTCTCATTTTCATAGGGATCCCTTTCTTTGACTGGACTCTCATTTTTCCGACTCGACATTGCAGTGTCAGCTAAACTCCTACACTTCTCACTGCTCGAAAAGTCTGCCCCTCCCTCCCTTTCCTACTTCCCTCAAAGCCGTCTGGGGAAGAGAAGAGCAAACGGAGACGCCACACGGGCCCAGATGGCTGGCAGCTCACCAACTGCAGCCAAAGGTAATCGGAAGCAGATGGGAAACCTTTTGGTGACGAGAGCAGGGGAGCAAGTTTCCTCGTGAAAACGAGTGGGTGGGAGGGGGGGAGGGTGGGGGATGTAAAGCCCCGGGGAATGAGGGAGAGACAGCAGAGAGCGAGCTGCTCAGGGCGGGCTGAGCGAGCCATTCAGTGTTCCCTGGCTGAATGCAGCATGAAGGAATGGCAGCGTGTACATTATTGTCTTATGGTAAATTTTAAGCAGCAGTGGGATGGTACGGTATAGGAGCGTTTCGGTAAAACACTGAGCACTCTTTGTACTGTTACTGCTTGCCTTCTCCACTTTGTGGAACAAGTGAAAGTTTCTCTCTTCCCCTCCCTCAGGCTTTCTCACAGCCATTTCCTGCACAGGCCCAAGTCCACTACGTTTCATTACCTCTGCTCCCACTCTCGATTTATGGAGGGGTTTATTCAACTTGCAGCTTGATATCAAATGCTTTTCATTACTTCAACTCTCATCTTGTTATTTTTTTTTTTTTTCAGACCGAGAGGGGGAAACTAGACCTCCCCAATGCAGTTGCCTTTCATGTCAGGCTTCTTCAAACAATCGGCGGACACACAACAACATGCATGCACTATTTCATTAACTCTCCCTCAGTGAGAGATCAAGTCATAAAAAGACTTCTTGCATATGGTGGCGATGTCTTGCGCGGACCCTCTGAGGCAAAAGAAATAAGTTGATCACAAGGCCAAACGAGTGCATGCCCCTTGCTTGGATAAAGACATTTGACGAGCCTTGGAATAGACTGTAGCAAGCAAGACAAGAGAAAAATTGGACCGAGTTGCAGACAGGCCACACAGTTTTCAGAGCAATCACATTTTGCAAAAAAAGAAAAAAGGGGGAAAGAAGAAGGAGAGAAGAAAGGGGTCGTTGTTATAACGAGAGGGAGAAAAGTTGGACCACTCAGGATAATTGGGTGGGAATTAAAGGCTGGACCAAATTCGCAATGTAATGATGCTAGCCGGCGCAGCGGCCATTTGACAAATCTTTTTTTAGGGAGCCAGTGCACACTAAGTGGGAGATGGGCTGTACAGTGAGTTTATAGTTCATGAAAAAAATTAAGTTAACTATGCTGTCCTTGTCTTTAACTGCTGCCAGATAGTGTGCAGCTATCCCAAAACTAGCTCACTAATCTAAACCATATGACCGACTCAGTAAAGTTTGTGTGGCGCAAACAGATGCTAAGTGTCCCTCAGTCTCACTTCAAGTCAAGCACCCGCTCACCTCTCTCTCTCTCTCTCTCTCTCTCTCTCTCTCTCTCTCTCTCTCTCTCACACACACACACACACACACACACACACACACACACACACACACACACACACACACACACACACGCAAACAGAGTCTGCACTTTGATCAGTGTGTAGCCCGTGAATCTGCTTCAGATTCAGTTTATTATTGCGTTGAAAAGGCGGTGCGGCTTCCCTTCTTCTAAAAAGACCTTGAGGCTGTCGGATCAAATGGCCCGTAAGAATGTCACAAGTCAGATGCAGCGTTTCAGACCGCTTCAGCAGCAATTATTCCCTCATAGCTGTCTTGAAAAAACAGACAGATATTCTAAGGGATCTCCACATGAAACCCCTGAACAGGTGATGGACATAATGCAAAGCAGAGGGTCTCTATCTCAGACTAAACTCTCACTCTGTGTCTGGTATAAAGACAGAGGAAAAGAGGAGCAGGCATTCCTCTCTCCATTTCCCCAAATAAACAGTGCAGATGAAAAGTGGGAACATAAACAGGCCCGTGAACCTCCGACGTGAACCCCTCACTCTGAAAATGGGCCTTGTAAATCTGAAACAATATTTAGAGAGGGAGAGAGAGAGAGAGAGAGAGAGAGAGAGAGAGAGTGCTGACTCGACATTGACTGAGTGCAAACACTCACAGCAGAAGCTCATATTCTCCATCAAATGTTATTCAAATCATCAACGTGAATCTTCTTTAATGCTGCCATCTAAGTCGCATCCACAAAGAACCAAGGGTATTGGAGGACAGACTCGACTACAATAGACCGCAATAGTTGGCAAACCTTGACCTGGAAAGTGCTTGTCAGTGTCCTCTGGTGGAGAGCACTGGCATTTCTGCGGGGAAAATGTGTGTATCCACCATTCAACAAGAGAAAGTCCATCCATTTTCAAGACCGATTATTCTCATTAAGGGTGCGGGTGTGAGGAGCTGACTTTGAATGAGAGGCGGGGTACACCCTAGACCGGACACCAGTCAAACGCAGGGCACATATTATCCAGCTAAACAGCCATTTATGCACACATTCAGACAAATGGACAAAATAGAGTCTTTAATGAAACAAACGTACATGTTTTGGGGATGTGAATGCGAACATGCAAATTCCACACAGAGAGCCCGGATTTGAACCCCCATCATCAGAACTGTGAGGCCCATGAACCACTTCTCCACTGTACCTGATCATCTAATTAAACACGATATTTGCATAACACAATATGTGCAAATATTGCATCCACATAATTAAGATGCTGCATGCAGATAAGGATCCACATCATTTAAGACACATAAAAATGACTCATTAATTCATTTGCTAACATCAACGTATTAATCAATCAACCATAATCATTTAGCTCCAACTCCCTGACCACCCTGGTTGCCCCTTCACGTGTCCCTAATTGTCAGCTGTTGGTCACCTCTTCTGTCCCCCATCTCTCTCTCTCTCTCTCTCTCTCTCTCTCTCTCTCTCTCTCTCTCTCACACACACACACACACACACACACACACACACACACACACACACTACACTGACTGCTGTCATTCGGCAACGAGGATTTACCAAGCTATTCCCTTTTTCAGAACAAGACACGAATTGAATATATCATAGCCACTCTTCTAAATGACATTTTAATGCATCACAGCTAAATCAATATGCAGAAAACTGTTAGGCAACTCAAGAAATCAGGCGGATGCTCCTCAAAAAAGCGTGTCATTTGAGCGGGTTTTGAGTCTAGCATTGCATCAGTAAGAGTACCTGGACTCGGCGACCTTACCTCTCCGTGTCCTCGGCACAAGTTTCCGCTGCGCCTGCCTGCTGTCTGTGCACGGTCTCAGAGCGAAGGAGGCGCCGGCGGCTGACTGAGCCGAGCTGAAGGGACTTGACTCCTTCTCTGTCAGCCCAGAACCATCGAGCTTCCTGAAGTTAGCTATAATGTTACACTTGAACTTCCGGTTACATTTAGAAAATAAAATGTATTTTGAAAGTAATGCATAGCATTGTAATCTGGTAAATGTACTTGGATTACAAGGTATTCTACGTTATGTTTTCTTTACACACAACACCGTGTTTTATTTTACTGCTGTTCATACTTTCCTACCAGTATGTTATAAAATGAAGTCCCCATGAAATACATACTTGTACTTGCCATGTCGAGGCTTTGATCCTATAAAAATAAATTAATTTTAACAATCAATAATTAATGTCTAATAATCATCTTTCCTACGTATTTTTGTCCAGGAAAAGATCTACAAGAAAAAGTTGTAGCGGTTGTAGCAGTGATGGAACATTGTCATTTCAATTTGATAAAGTGATGTTTCCAACTTTGTTACATTATGAGAGATAATTATTGTATTGTCGATCAGTGTCTTAATATCATTATTTATGATTACTTACATAACACTGCTACTAGAATCCACACACCTTCAAAACCATCACTTTTTTGAAAACAAAAAACAGCATGTTTGTTGCACAATTAATGTTGTATCTTCAAAAAGAGCAACCCATTTTCAGCATTTTAGATTGTTCAATAATTTTAAAAAAAGAAGAAAAAAGGAAGAAATAGAATAAGAGAATAAGACATAAATGTTGAAACAGAAAAACAGACTCATATGGGGACTAACCAATAGTAGAGTTTTCTAAAAACATACACTGACCTCCTGACAGTGGAGAAAATTAATCGTCATTCCGGCAAATTTGTTATTGCAGATGTGTGAATTACTCTTGACCTGATGTGCCTTTTAGACTCTGTCAGTGCAAGAGTTGAAGAAGTACTTCTGCTTTTACCTGTCTTTTATTTGAGTACAGTGTGTGACGAGTTTGGTCGCTTCAAAAATGTCTGTCAATCTCAAACAAAAGAAGCAATAAGGGGGCAGAAATGACTCTTTAAAGTTCTTTTATTTTGAAGAGTAGTATGTTCCGTTTCGTTCTTGTTTTAAAGTAGCTTGATGAAAAAAGACTGACTGTGTACGTCACTCTAGAAGCCAGACCAGCAGCTGTCATCAGTGAATGACATAACGGTTGTGCTCACACTAAACGTGGAACGGGCAAGGAGAAAGAAGGTCGAATCGTTTATTGCATTCGAATGCATCCAATGGCAGAGTCTTTTATCTGAGCATGAACATGTATCTAATTATTTTACATTCTTGAAGATATACACCTCACAATCAGCTTCACACGAAACTTCAACTGCACCAAAAAAAGTATATTTCCGAAATGCATATGACTGTTCTTTGGAACTGTGGCCCGTTTAACAATGTTCCTCAGGGAGTTGGTCACAAAGCAGCGAACCTCTTCCATCCTTGCTTGTGAATGACTGAACTGTTCAGGGATGTTCCTTTTATACCCAATTACGACACTTGACTCACCTGTTTCCAATTAAACTGTTCACCTGTTGAATGCTCCAAACAGGTGTTTTTTTTTTGTTTTTTTTTTAAACATTCCTCAACTTTCCCAGTCTGTTGTTGCCCCTGTTTTCGGAATGTGAATTGCTGCAATTAATTTAAAAGTAGGAGAACATTGGCAAAAACAACAACAACAACGTTCAGCAGTTTGAACATTTAATATCTTGTATTTGTGTCTTGAACAGAGATTGAAAAGAATGAGCAAATATTTAGATTCTGTTTGTATTTACATTTTACATTACGTCCCAACTTCTTTGGAATTGCGGCTTGTAAAAAGTTTCTTCAATGTGTGTAAAGTCTAAACAGTTTGACTTGCAGGTATTTTGGTACACACTTTTCACATCTGTGAGGGTCATGGAGTTTTTGACGCATTTTCAAGACTGGCGCAAGTTTGGCACAAGTCGCAAAACTGTGTGGAGGTGGGTTGGACCGGGTGTTGGTAATTTCACAGACGCAAGCAAGCTGGCACATTAAAAAAGGGCAGTTTGCGCTGTTGTGGGCGTGAACACAGCTGACTTCATTCACCGCGTAGGCAGCTCCTCTCATTCCTTTTAAATGTGGCACACTGACTGTCTGGCAGGGAGGCATTTATGTTTGGAAAAGGACAAACACTATAGAAAATGGATAGCTGTAGTTAGTCTATGGTCCTTTTGATGACCACCACATCAGTTGGTCTTGGAGCCTTTGCAGTGGAGCCTTTGCAGTCAAGCTTGGAGCCTTTGCAGTCAAAACAAGAGATGTGGTTTGTTGATGTCATTCAAGGGCATAAGCTCATGGGAAATCTCACAAACATTGCAGATGATGCAACAGGATGACAGAAGTTAATGCCATTCCTAAGATTTCGTTGAGCAAACTAACCCTGTAAAAAAACAAGTGAAGTTTTAAGTTATTCCGTTGTGCGTCACATAGTATAGCCAACAGACAGGAAGAGAGGAGTTCCTCTATTTGTGCTGAAGAACTTCACCTTTCAGCCTGACAACATCCCATCCATCCATCCATCCATCCATCCATCCATCCATCCATCCATCCATCCATCCATCCATCCATCCATCCATCCATTTTCTGATCTGCTAATCCTCACAAGGGTGGCGGCGCATGCTGGAGCCAATCCCAGCTGTCTTCAGATAGTCGGCAGTGGAAACCCTGAACTGGTTACCAGCCAATCGCAGGGCACACACAACAGACATACAACCATTCACGCTCAAAGTCACACCTAGGGACAATTTAGAGTGTTCCATTAACCTGTCATGCAAGATTTTGGAATGTGGGAGGAAACCATAGTACCCGGTCAAAACCCACGTAGGCACGGGGAGAACATGCAAACTCCACACAGGAAGGCCACAGCCGAAATCGAACCCTGCATGTCTGCACTGTGAGGGCGACACGCTAACCAGTCGACCACCATGACAAAACATCAATTTAAATCAACAAGATTAAAGTCATTCAAATCTAAAATTTGTTGGTGACCTCAAGAGGCTGATGTCATCTCGATTTCACATATTTGTAGCCCTTTTAATGAGCACCATTGTCAAGTCAAGATATATTGCTTTCTGCCCAGTAAGACTGAATAGTGTCATGAAAACAAAAGCTGCGTCAAGGGATGTGCACACTGATGCAGCCAAGTCAATGAACATTTTATGGATCTGCTCCATGACAAATGTCTTTATTTTTCTTTTATTCAACGTTACATAACTTACATTGTCTTTGAGGGGTGGAGAGTCTGTGTTAGGGGAAAGTTTTTTTAATAGTTACTGTTATTCAAGTGATATAAAACACGGTAATCATAAATCAAATACCATACGCGATGCGTGTAGTAACTGTAAAAGGGCAGCCAATTCTTTGCCACTCACCCACCCCTTCATCACATTGACTTGTTGAATGCAGCAAGTTTAAATGCAACAGTTTTACCATAAATTCTTCCTTTCAAAGACAAGAAAGCAGTCAGAGGTGACACAGTGTGTCAGCCCTGTGAAATGTACATGTACTGTAGATGAAAAACGTGTGTGTGTGTGTGTGTGTGTGTGTGTGTGTGTGTGTGTGTGTGTGTGTCTGTGTACAAAACATACATTACGCACAGTATAGACATTACAAACAAAAAGTTTATGTGAAATTTCCAGTAGAATCGAAAATGCAAAAGCTACTATGCAGTATAACCTTTACAGCAAAATTCAGCACTGGTGTTTGATCCATGTATCAACCAGATCTTTGGGTACGACCAACCTCTGCGTCACAGAAAGACATAAATGAATGTCCGTGGAAATGTTTTAAAAATAATTATTAAAAAACACCTGTTGTGAATTTGACCACTCAGTTCTTTGTTAGAGAATAACATGATGTGCAACAAGTACTGAAGCATTAACAGTTAGAATCATGCTTTCAAAAGCTTAGAAAAGGTCAAATTAAGCCCACCTATAAAGACTATAGTCAGAAGTAATTTTTTTTTTTTTTTTTTTTGGTGCCCAGTTCACAAGCGCATGCATGCACGCACGAACATGCTTGGACGCACACAGCCATTCGGGAGAACTGCTCTTGTCACCATGTATTTTTGCAGGGCTGCCAGTTTTAAAATTGCAATTTGATTTAATTTGATTTGAACATTAACAATATCACAAAAAAATGTTCCAATAGTTTTTACAATCTTTAAATCTGTGTGAATATATTGAAAATGGGTCATCACTGTGAATGTGTTTGAGAAGTAAACACAAGTCTCACCAATTCTTAGCTTCAAATTTAGGTTTCAAAGCTGGTCTTCAACATACAACCCTCCAGTTCCGGAGGCATGTAATATCCATTTATTTCCAGGACTACAGTACAGTACACCTCTTGTCCTCACTGGGGTCACAACCTAACCGACGAAAGAAGGCGCATGGAGCTTCTGCCACCAGGAGGCCCAATGTTGTAACAGCAGCTTTGACCAGCCGTCTCACTATTTCTGGAACTAATATAAAATCACCCAGGAAGTGCTTTAGCTCACGGTACACTTGCCTAGAAGTGACAGCCATCGGCCTCGCGGTTGAGAGGTGATTGGTTTGAATCGCAGCTCTGGCACTTCCTGTAAGGTGTTTACAAAAGCTCTCCATCTTAAAAGTTCAAATTGTCATGGTCTCTTTCAAAAATAAATAAATAAAATCTGAAAATGTTACATGTTGTATTAATTTTCAATGAAAGCAAAATATGGAAACTACAATGTATGCCACCTATAACACCCGGCATGTCTGAAACGCAAAAAAAAAAAAAAAACGCTTTCCGTGCTGTGGAAACTTCTGGCATCCCATGTATAGAGCTGAAGCTCCAACGATGAAGAGTCTCTTCGAAGATGCTGTTTGACCCCCAAATAGGTTTAAAAAATATTTTCCCACACAAAATAATAAATAAATAATTGAAATGATCTGCGATAACCTTTATCAAACATGTATTAACCGTACAGATATTTTTAAAGAAACATTGTAAAGTTCTTCACCAATCATGCATTGTAAATTTAAGTTGTTGTTGTGACTTTTGGCTTGTCCTGTCAGTGGTTGGCGCAAGTTACTCAAATGATTTTTTTTCGTGCATTTTTTTTTTCACGACACAAGCCACCTGTGTTGTTTTGTTTTTTTGCGATCTGGGTATTGGTTTGCCTTTCATGTCATATGGCTATGAATTAACCAATCGTGTTCAAAGTCACATTAAAATGTGATTCAGCACAGACCTGCTGCATTTTTACGTGCCTTGGATGAACCAGAAATAAATTTCAGGTGTTCTAATAGACTTTTCTTGTTATTTTTGTTGTTACATCTTATAGAGAGAGCTTCCACTGCACCAGAGGAAGCTCAGTGATCAAAGAATTTCCAAGATATTAAACATACCATGGAGCACAGGAAAGACCGTCATCATCAAGTGGAGCAACCAGAGGACAAAAAAATTGGACATCCCTCCAAAATTGATGAAAAGACAAGTACAAAACTAGTCGGGGAGGCTGCCAAGGGACCGACAGCAACAGTGAGGGATTTGCAGAAAGTTCGAGCAACTATTGGTTGTTTAGTAGGCTATATGTGATAACAATCTCCTGTCTGGGCTATGGGGTAGGTTGGTAAGATGGTAGCCTCATGTTACCAATAAAATGAAAAAAAAAACCTCACTTGAACTCTCCCAAATGCATTTGGAAAAATGTGGTATGGTCTGCTGAAAACGTTTGGTTATAATTTCAAACAACATGTTTGATGTAATCACTCAATAATACTGTACATCACTAAAAGGACACCACAACTACAGTGAAGCATGGTGGTGAATGCATCGTGCTCTGGGGAAGTTTTTCTTCAGCTGGAACTGGGGCCATTGTCAAGGTAGAGGAAATTATGAAACGCTCCATTAAAAATGTGTTCTGGTCTGCTGAAAACGTTTGGTTATAATTTCAAACAGCACTAAAAGGACACAACAACTACAGTGAAGCATGGTGGAGAATGCATCGTGCTCTGGGGATGTTTTTCTTCAGCTGGAACTGGGGCCATAGTCAAGGTACAGAAAATTATGAAACACTCCATCGATCGCCTGTGGTGTGATCAGAAGTCAGCTGTGTACAGGAGACAACCTGAAAATTGAACAGTTTTGGCATATACTGTATGCTACACCTAAATGTTACACTCCAACCAAAACAGTTCCAATAATAGCGGAAATAGTTTTGATCTAGCATATTGGTGTCTAATTTTATATCACAAAAGCCTGCCATGCGAACAATCGAATGTGTGTGTGTGTGTGTGTGTGTGTGTGTGTGTGTGTGTGTGTGTGTGTGTGTGTGTGTGTGTAAAATATATATACAGTATATATATTGACCTCCCTATATTTTATCTGAACTTTTACAGTATTCAAATTTGGCTGTTCCAGATATGCTTGCCATTTTTTATTATTATTATTTGTCACAGCTGAGAAGTGTTGTAGTTTTCTGCATTTGTGTGTGGTGGCCTAAGGTTCAACTGGTTATTTGGGAATTATTCAACAGGCAAATGTCCTCATTACGATATGTAGATTTAGTGCGTCTGCTAGTGTGTGTCTGCAAGTATTGTAACATTGACGTTCGCTCACCTACTGACGTGACAGCACCTGACACTGCACGCATTAGCAGATGCATCCTATCTCTGAAGCAACAGCCTTGGTCTACTTTTGAAAGAAGAAGTGAGTATCTTTGTCATTTTTTTACTTTCACAATAGATTTATTATCATGCATCAAAACGAGAGGAACAACATGCCAAACAATGCAAATTAACAAATAATATAGTAATTGACATTATATTAATCCACTGGCTATGCAATGCAATATTCTGTCATATTTTTTATTTTCAGTCAGCACTTCATTTCATTCCCGATGTTTATATACACTTAAATTGAGTGAGTGTACCAATTTTAAAGAAGTACATTACTGTATTTTCGTTTAAACGTTTGTGTTCAATCGATCCTGATTGTGTCATTATTCAGTGACTGTGAATATGAGCGTGAATGGTTGCCTGTCACTACGTGATGGCGCGGCAACCAAAAGTCTCGTCTGAACAGGTTAAGCAGTGTAGAATACATCTATAGATTGATGGATGATGGATGGAATGATTGGATCGTTCCTGCTATTAACTAGCTGTATTAGTTACAGTTGACAACTCGTGCATTGATGTAAAATCATCCCAATGATAGGCAATGGTGCTAAATGTGTTAAAATGTTAGTATCCTAGATGTGATAAGCAAAACAACCACACACACACACAAAAAAAAAAATGGCCCAGCATACTTAATAGTGTTGAGCTCATCATAAAAATGTAGAGCATTTTTCAGGTTTTCAAGTTAACAGGAAACTTAACTCATCTCAGCATAGAATTATTTGGGTCTTTGTTGTCATTACACATAAATCATTTTCAAAAGTTACCAAACTTCTACATAAAACTATGTTTTCATTTTGTCAAGTAACTTTTTAACTTTTAACTTTTGTGATTAAAGAGATCAGAGTCAACTTGGTGCTGAGCTCTTCGCATGTGAAGGCACAAAAAATTGAGCTCCTTGTCTGCGTTGAAAAATGGGTTTGTCTGTAAATTAAACCGCCGTGAAAAATGTGTCTAAGTCCTCTGTCTGATTAAATGAGTTTCATAAATAAAGAGCACAACATTTTTCTGATGGGGTAGAGCCTTTTCTGAATTATTTCCCCTGGCCTTGCCTCACCGAGAGTAGGAATTAGCAATTTTTTGTTTTTATTCATTTCATTATAAATATGATGGTTCCTAAAGTTTTGCTGGTTTCATATTCGTCATGATCATGTGAAAGTTTACCTTGTTTCAGAGCGTCCGATAATTGTTTGCTCAAATAAAAAAGAAATACAATTGTTCTTATTTTTACCAATGCCATGTTCGCAATTTTCATTTTTTACAAACCCCAGTAACATAGAACTATGACTTACCAGCTGCAACCAATATAGAAGCATTATTGTAACATTTGGAAAGTCAGAGCATAGACAATAAGAGTCTTCTTTATAGTTTAGAACAGTGATTCTCAACCAGTGTGCTGTGGCACATTATTGTGCCTTGAGAGAACATCAGGTGTGCCGTGGAAAATTATCCAAAAGCACTTATTTGGATGAAAAATGATTTATTTTATCATTTATAAAAAAGTTTTTGTTAATTTATCTATGCCAACCACCTATAGTCAAAGGAAGAACAAATAATAAAACTGTGCAGCCTTTTTTTGTGAATCGTTTTGCTTAATGGGTTAACAGGTGCATAAGTAGAATAAAATGAACGTGATTAAAAAAAATAAAATAAAATACCAAGGCTACTGTAGAGCCTACTTTGCTTTTCAGAAATACAAAAATGCTGCACTGTAAATGGATTGAAGTTCATTTGTTACCAATTCTCAGATAGAATCTGTTCAGGTTCTTTTTTTTTTTTCACAAAATGTCCAAAAATATACTGAGAACAGACGTAACAATGAATCGGTCAATAGTTCGTACCTGTGGTTGCGATTAGGCATTCGTTAATGTTCATGTTTTCAAAGTCCCCCCCCCCCCCACTCTAAAACCCGATGTCAACTTCAGTGCTATAAATGGAGTTGAACTTTTCATGCGTTCTTCGCTCTCTTTTGTCCATGTTGCAACTTCTGAAGACATTTGTTGTGGTGAAAAAAGTTCAGGTCACAGCACATTCCTTCCTGTGGCCACTTTGTACTTGGCCATTGCGGGTGTTGGTAGAGATTTGTGTGCGTTGCTAGGAAACTGAGGTTTTCACTTTTGAGAACATATCAAAGAGCATCAAAATCACACTGCTTCACTGTAAGTGCAGATGGATGTTATCTATCTTTTATTTTGAATATGGAAGATGGGCATATTGTATTGTATTTTATTTTGAATATGGAAAATGGGCAGAGTAATATTTAACTACAAATGGAGTCAGTGGTATATGTATGTGGTAAAATCTAAAAATGTTGGGTGTTTTTTTTTTTTAGATTTTACGTTATCTCTACAAATGTGCACAAATGCACCATGATTTTCACATATGCTCTTATCCTTTATGGATTGAAAACAGAAATGTCACGGCTAGCTTTGTGGGATGACAGTGTGACTCTGAGTAACACAGCATAATTCTCAATATGTGTTTGGTGTAACACAAATTGTTTGACTTTGTTTTGGGGGTTTTTTTCCTCCAAAAAGCACCTGCTCAACTGAAAAATTTGAATTTCGAGAAAGGAGGCTGTGAGAGTGGACCGCAACTTCCTGTTGTGGCTCTTGTCATGAGTTAGATGCAGTCTTGCTGTGTGGGTGTTTTTTTTTTGTCAAACATGTCTTTGTAACAGTGCCATTCCCGGAAAAAAAAACAGAATTTTTGAATGTGTTAATCTAATGTTGGTAGAGCCAGAGGTGGGTCTCATTTAGGTCACACACTAAATTAAGATACACATCATTTGAAAAAAGAAATGGAATATGAACTAATTTCCCAAATCTCAAAGCATAAAATGTATTCCAAGTGACATTCGTAATTGATTACACCATCCATCCATTTTCAACGACGCTTATCCTGAACAGGGTTGCAGGAGGGTGCTGGAGCCTGTCCCAGCTGACTTCGGGCGGAAGGCAGACTACACTCTGAACTCGTCGTCAGTCAGTCACAGGACACATTGGAAACAAACAACCATTTACACCCACAGCCACACCGTCACTGAGTGGGAAGCGATCAGAGGCTGCACGCTCACAAGTCAGGAGAGTGTACCACGACGTCATCAGCGACCTTGATTGCATCATTTCTGAATAAAATAGCATAAGAATAGCAATAAGATACAAATAAGATCACAGGCTGGGCCAACTTTTGTGAATTTCCTAAAGAAAATTTCCTGTATAATATGGCTTACTTGTTCCTTGTGAGAAGACTGGTGGCCTGGACAGTGTGCAAGGAGGGACTATGGCGGACTTCATTCAGGATTACCTTTTGTCCCGACACTACTGAAATGTTCTCCCACTCATTACTGAAATGGACTCACAAAAACTACTGTTATTTTCACTCCCAAACACTCCTTAAATTCTCTTAAACACCCGGGTTAATAATAGTTTTTGATTTTTCATTATAGTTAGATTTTATTTAGTTTTGACTTTTTTTAAATTCAATTCGTTTTTAGAGCGGGTTAGCTTTTATTTATTCTTATTTTCGGAAATGTTTCATTTTAGCTCATGTTTTTAGTATGAATTTTAGTTTTTTGTAGTATTTATCATGTGCAAGATTTAAAAAAAAAGGTCACAAGTAATGTTTCATAAAGTAAAGCAAACAAAATTCTCTTAAGAATGTTTGAGCTTCTTCTGTAAGGATATATACAGCAATACCGAAATAAATAAACCCTGAAAGCTCATGCATGAATAGACTGACAAAGACGGAAACAAAGGCCATTTTCGCTGAAGTTATACTTGGTAGTTACTTTCAGTTAGTTTTATAAAAGTTAAGTAGTTTGAAATATCATAATAAATGTTGCAGCTGTGAGCTAAGAAAAAAAAACCACTCAAATTAACTGGGCAACTCTGATGCGAGAACACCAATATTCCAAAAAGTATTACAAGTCGCTCACTCATGTCCTTCAGAGTCACTCAATGGGTGTGGTGCTATTTAAAAGTAAAATGGTTTGTCATAAAATTGCATTACTGTGTGGAAGAATGTTCAAGGGCAAAAACAGACTCCCACTGCAATTGATGATCAGCATATTCCTAAAATACAGTATTTAAGTTGTAACCGATTAAATTTTCTTGTTTCCGTTTGTTAGCCCTTCACGTATCTCCTGATTCCAGGCCTCCAAAGATCAACTCATCTGTCTGAAGTTTCATCATGTCCACCGACCCTGCAATAGAATTGCCTTTCTTCTACGGCAGCATCAGTCGCTCAGAAGCTGAGCAGCATTTAAAACTGGCCGGTATGGCCGACGGCCTCTTCTTGCTACGACAGTGTCTGCGGAGTCTGGGTGGATACGTCCTCTCTGTTGTGTGCAACTTGGAGTTCCACCATTACCCCATCGAGAAACAGATGAATGACACTTATTGTATCACGGGAGGCATACCTCACTGTGGGCCTGCTGAGCTCTGTGAGTTTTACAGCAAGGACCCTGGTGGGCTGTTGTGTGCTCTGAAGAAACCTTGCTTACGTTCCTCGGACACACCGATCCGGCCCAGTGTGTTTGACAGCCTGAAAGAAAACATGCTGAGGGAGTATGTGAAACAGACCTGGAACCTTGAGGTTAGTTTCTACCAACAGACTCATATGATCTAACGATTGGAGATGCGTCATTCATGTAAATGTCAATGAACCTGGCACATTTGCAGGTCGGCATTCATGAATTTACCTATTTGTGGGGTATTCTGTTTAGACCAAAATCATTTCTAATATTGATTTATTACTTTAGTGTCAGATTTTGGCCTTTAGAGAACAATGATGAACTGGGAGTAAGAGCTTCATTTAGTCAGGTCATAATCTTGGCTGATAGAAAACAGGGTTTTGCTGCCATCTTGTGACACATATCCGCTATTCCAATTTTTTTGGTTTGGCCTTCGATTACTTTGCAGATTTTTATTTCAATTCTCAGCAGGTTTATGGAGATAGGGAACACCCTATCCACAACTGAATTCACTGCATTTTATTCTGATTGTAGTGTGCAATGGTTCATACTACATCGGTTCATATTTTAGGTTTTTGTATTAATTTCACGTCAGCTCAAAAAGGAAATTTGGTGGTCTTGCTTTGTGAGGATTTTACTTTGTTCTACATCAGTGTGAATAACTACCAAAATAATAAATGTATTTTAATTTTTTTAATAAATATCGATCGAAGCAGGACAATCAAATGAGCTCTATTAATTTTGCGTAAGACATAATGTTTTAGATCTCATTAGATTGTCTATTTAATGAAATAACCAAATGAGTGTTAACCACTTCAGACATTTTCTCGATTATAGAGTATGCTTATCTTCCACTCAGGGTGAAGCCATGGAGCAGGCCATCATTAGTCAAGCTCCCCAACTGGAAAAGCTAATCGCCACTATGGCCCACGAGAAGATGTCGTGGTATCACGGCAAAATCTCCCGACAGGAATGTGAGAGACTGCTCTACAGTGGAACACAACCAGATGGCAAATTTTTGTAAGTTGCTCAGAGTGATGCATTTTTTATGAAGCGTAAAAGATCTTTCCAGCTTGTCGAAAGCTACTTTGCTTTCCCAATTGTTTTTCAGGATTCGTGACCGAGAGGAGTCTGGTACTTTTGCACTCTCCGTTATGTATGGAAGATCCATTTATCACTATCAGATCCTCCAAGATAAGTCAGGGAAATATTACATGCCAGACGGATTGAAGTTTGACACTATTTGGCAGGTGCATATGTACCTTTAAACATATTTATTTTGTCATACATATTAACCCTTTCAGAGACAGCTGTTACTACAGTGGACAGCTTATCATGTTGCATGAAAGGGTTAATTTTTCAGTCATACTGTAATGTAAGTTAATCACGTCCGTCCATGAACCGTCACCTTCCCATGTTGGAGGGGTTTGAGTGTTCCAATGATGCTAGGAACGAAGTTGTCTGGAGCTTTATGCTCCTGGTAGGGTCACCCTTGGCAAACAGGTTCTAGGTGAAGGACCACACAAAACACAATTCACACCTGAGGGGTCAGGTGCTTTGTGAGCTGGGCTGCGGCCAACAGCAGGGACCTTGGTGGTCATATCCCAGGCTACAGAAGCTGACTCTAGGGACGTGGAGTGGCACCTCTCTGGCAGAGAAGGAGCCCGAGCTGGTATGCGGGGCGGAGAAGTTCCGACTTGGACTTGCCTCCACACACAGCCTGGGCTCCGGTACCAGTCTTCTCGACAGGGGTTGGACACCCTTCCACTCTGGAGTTGACCAAAGTGAGAGACGCCGAGCAGGGGTGGTCATACTTATTGCCCGCCGGCCTGATGCCTGTTTGTCAGGGTTCACCCCAGTGAATGAGAGGGTAGCCTCCCTCCGCCTTCGGGTGTGGGGATTGACTGTTGTCTGTGCCTGTGCACCAAACAGCAGCTCAGCGTACCCACCTTTTTTGGAATCCTTAGAGGGTGTGCTGGAGAGCGCTCCCTCTGGGGACGATTTCATTCGGCTGAGTGAATTCATTGCTCACATGGGCAGAGACAGTGAGACCTGGAAGGGCGTGATTGGGAGGAACAGCCCCCCCCCCCCGATCGAAACTCAAGTGGTATTCTGATAGTGGATTTCTGTGCTAATAACGAATTTTGTATAACGAACACCATGTTCAAACATAACGGTGTCCATAAGTGCAATGAGCACTCGGACACCCTTAGCCGCAGTTAGATGACTGACTTTGTGGTCGTATCATCGGATTTGCAGCTGCATGTTTTGGACATTCGGGTGAAGAGAGGGTCGGAGCTGTTAACTGATCACCACCTGATTGTGAGTTTAATCCAGGGGTCGGCAACCCAAAATGTTGAAAGAGCCATATAGGACAAAATAAACAATTGTTTTGGTGCATTATTTTCGCTTTTCTTAGTGTCAGTGAAGTCATCACGAATTTCCGTTTTTCGGAGGCTGTCTTTCAACCCTCTCGAGTTGAACGAGAACAGAGAAGGCACGGAGTCGGACGCAGACGTGTCCGTGTTTGTCGAGACTGTTAAAAGCATAAAGTGTACGTTTTACAAAAAACAACACCACAGCTCTCCTTTTTCGAAGCTGCAACATGTATCTATATCTATTTGAGCTATATTAGCCTACTATCAAAATATTTTTCCATTTTCAAACATTTTTTATAAAGCTCCAGGGAGCCACTAGATGTCGCTAAAGAGCCGCATGCGGCTCTGGAGCCGCGTGCTGCCGACCCCCGGTTTAATCCAATGGTGGGGAAAATGACAGTCTGAACTGGCAGACCAAAACATATTGTGAGGGTGTGCTGGAAGTATCTGGCAGAACCCCCTGTCAGAAAGAGTTTCAACTCCCACCTCCGGCAGAGCTTGGCCCACATCCCAAGGGAGGCGAGGGACATTGGGTCAGAGTAAACCATGTTCCGTGCCGCTACTGTTATGGTGGTCGTTCAGAGTTGTGGCTGAAAGGTGGTCGGTGCCTGTCGTGGCGATAACCCCTGAACTCACTGGTGGACACCGGCGGTAAGTGATGCTATCAAGCTGAAGAAGAACTCCTATCAGGCCTTTTTGGCCTGTGGGACTCCGGAGGCAACTGACGGGTACCAGCTGGCCAAGCAGAACACAGCTTCGGTAGTCATCGAGCCAAAAACTTGGGTGTGGGAGGAATTCAGCGAGGCCATGGAAACCAACTTCAGAACGGCTTCGAGAAAATTCTAGTCCACCATCTGGCATCTCAGGAGGAGCAAGCAGTGTACCATTAACACTTTTTTTATAGTGGGGATGGGGTGCTCCTGACCTCGACTCAGGACGTTGTGAATTAGTGGGCGCAATACTTTGAAGGCCTCTTCAATTCCACCAACACGCCTTCCTTAGAAGAAGCAGAGTCTGGTGACTCTGAGGTGGTCTCTCCTGTCGAAGTGCTTAAAAAGCTCTTCGGTGGCAAGCTGTATGTTGGGGGTGGATGAAATCTGCCCGGAGTTCCTCAAGGTTGTGGTTGTTGTGGGGCTGTGCTGGTTGACACAGTTCCGCAACATTGCGTGGACATCGTGGACAATGTCTCTTGATTGGCAGGCCGGGGTATTGGTTCCTCTTTTTTGATTAGGATACCTCCTGGACACTTCCCTGGTGAGGTGTTCCAAGCAAGTCCCACTGCCAGGAGGCCCGGGGGACGACCCAGGGCAGCTGGCCTAGGAACGCCTAGAAGAGTTGGAAGATAGGGCTGGGTAGAGGGAAGACTGGGCTTCCCTGCTAAAGCTGCTGCCTCCGCAACCTTACCCCGGATAATCGGTCGTGAATGGATGGATGAATGGATGATCTCATTCTATTTATTTTACCAGCTGGTAGAGTTCCTGAAGATGAAACCTGACGGTTTGGTGACAATTCTGAGTGACCCATGTGTCAACAATGCTGCTGCAAGTAAAGTAGATCTTTATATCTCTTTATATGTAAATTCATCTAAAGCAAGTATTTCATTTTTTTTAATATGAAATGTACATTAACTGGAATAAAGTGTCAAAATGATACAATTGATAGCTGAAAATGAAAATACTGAAAAAGTACTTCAAGATACTTGGTTGATTCAGCAAATCAATGATTTGTGTTGTAATATTTGCTTTCAGCCAAAAGAGCTCTACTTAGTAAAACTCTAATTTTGGATGTGTTGTTTAATCCGCTGTCGACTGATGGCTTTGTCCCCCCCACCCCCCTTGTTTTTTTTTTTGTTTTTGTTTTATACCTATAAAATATCTTTCCAAACAAAAATCAGAGACACCGAGCCTTCCCGCAACAGTGAGTATGAGTGCATGATAAAGAGTTTAAGTCCTTCTATTTCGGCTATTGTAATGTAATTATTTACTCTCCTGCTTGCAGAGGCGAAAAGGCCTAAATAGCTACACACCAACACCTCGAGGTCAGTCGCCTACATTGCACTATTGTGAACAATCTCTCCATTGATGAAATAATCTACAGATTTGATTTTCCATCTCAGTAGCTTAGCTATTAAGAACTGCAAAGGATATGTAAATCTATGTGTGTTTCTTGCTTGATAGCTGTGGCTGTGAAAACAGTCACACCTGAGCCTGTAGATAATGCTCTTCCAATGGACTGCATTGGCTTTAACCCATATCACAACCCCAATGATATTAAGAAGTTTAACATCCAGAGGAAGCAGCTTTTCATTGATGAAGTGGAGCTGGGCTCTGGCAACTTTGGCTGCGTCAAGAAGGGTGTCCTTGATACTGGAAAGTGAGAAAACGTTTGATCATTGTTAACAAAGTTTGAGATGAACAACTTTGATGAAGAGCTGTTCATGCCAAATCATTTCTTTTGGTTTTCCATCAGGGCCCAGTTAGATGTAGCCATCAAAGTGCTGAAGAATGACAATGAGAAGCTAATGAAGGAGGAGATGATGAGGGAGGCAGAGATAATGCACCATCTGAGTAATCCCTTCATTGTTCGGATGCTGGGGTTATGCAACGCTGAGAACCTGATGCTCGTCATGGAGATGGCTGCTTCTGGGCCTCTCAACAAGTTTCTCTCCTCCAATAAGTACGTTTGAGTTCATATTGACCATTTCATTATGTGTGTATACAATAGGCATCACAGCGTACTTCCGGGTGGCCGAAGACTGAGTGTCTCCTGCTGAAATGAATTGAAATGGTGAAAACCTTGCATGTGGGGTTTTGCCGCAAGACGTACCTCAAAAGGTTTTGATTTTTCATGATTTCCTTAGTTTTACAGACTACCGAATGACTAAGTAGCCATGAATCACAGGGCCCGCAGAGACAAAAAAAAAAATCCTTTAAAATCACAACTATGGACAATTAGGACTTTTTAATTAACCCGACATGCATGTTTTGTTTTGTTTTTTGATGGCAGCAAATAAGTAAACTAAACTTCACCCTCTAATATTGCAATCACCACAGGGATACAGTATCGGCGGAGGACATTGTCAACCTGATGCACCAGGTGTCGATGGGAATGAAATATCTGGAAGAGAAAAACTTTGTGCACAGGGACTTAGCAGCTCGAAATGTCCTGCTGGTCAACCGACAGTTTGCCAAAATCAGCGACTTTGGGCTGTCCAAGGCCCTGGGAGCAGACAGCGAGTACTACAAGGTACAGAGGTCCAATTGTTATGAGGAATTCTAACACCCCACGGGTTATCGCCATACGGTGTTATCTTTGTAGGGTAAATACTAAACTTCTTTCCTTTTGCCTTTATTTACTGACCCTCATCTGAAAGGAATGTGTGAATCACATATGGTAACCAAATCATTGAATGAGAGGAAGAACATTCAATGTTCAACAATATTTGGAATTTGCTTTGGCAAATAAGAATTTTGCCAGTATATGTATTTTAAATGTATTATATTGATTGTAATCACACACATTTAAGCATGCAAGGAGTGATGTCAGAGGGAAAACAGGGTTGGCTGGGGGGCTTGCATGGCATCTCCCCAACAGCTAGTTGACATTTTGTTGTCCACAGCAAAACTCAAACCATGACCCTCTGATTCCAAAGCCTAGGTTTTAACCAATGAACTACTTCCGATCCATTCAACAGTAATAAACAGTAATTTTGGCATATGAAACCATGAACAGGCCCGTTCTTCAGGACTATGGCCGCTGAAGTGGTATGCTCCTGAATGTATCAACTACCGCAAATTCTCCAGTAAAAGTGACGTGTGGAGCTTTGGCATCACCATGTGGGAAGCCTTCTCATATGGCAGAAAACCGTACAAGGTACTGTAAATGCAGCAGTGGCTCACAACAGAAATTCTGAATCAAATGCTTTCGTCCTGTTCTGTTCAAATTTGTCCAGAAAATGAAACAAGTGGAGGTGAGCAATTTCATTGAAAGTGGGAAACGCTTGTCGTGTCCAACCAATTGTCCAGATCGAATGTATGCAGTGATGCAAGAATGCTGGAGATATAAGTAAGATAATTTGATCAAAATTATGTTTTGTTTTAATTTTAAATCATCACTTTACACAGTATGTTTTGGGTGATTTTGTCCTTTCTCACTAGACATGAGGATCGTCCTGACTTCAAAAATGTGGAAGAGACCATGAGATCTTACCATTATTCATTATCAAAAAAGGTTAAGCCATCGGATGCTGCCACTGCTGCAGAGCTTAACGAGTAGACATAAAAACAAAGCACATTCTGTGCCATGGCTACACAATGTGTCCATTCATCTGATCATTAAACAAGCAAAACAAAGAGCTATTTATGAGCCGTCCACACTGACCAGCCTTAACTCTGGCAGTGATACAGCTAAACAGGCCTTGGTGGTGATAATTAAGCATTTGGAACATGAGTGTGTCAGCTGCATACACATACTCTATAGGATCTTTTTGTCAGTTTGAATGTCTGCATCTTTACATTGATGAGCAAACCGTTTCTGCTTTTATTCCCCTTTATAATATTGTACTGTTAAAAGATCCTTGGAGTTGCTTTTTGGTTGGGCCGTAAAACATTTGTGTGTCAAGAAAGGGGGAAACGTGGGTTAGACTTCTGCAAATAAAGTACCACCTCTTATTTTCTAGCTTGACTATTTTTATTGGTGTAACTTTGGTGTGCAGTAACCCCTCGTTTATCATTCCAAAAAGAACACATGATGATAAGTGAACTCTGTGAAGTAGTCAGCTTTATTTTTTACAATTATTACGTATACTGTACAATACACAATACTGTATTGAATGAAACCAAAGATTAAACCTTTTTTTCCAGGCCCATGAATTAAAACAAAAACAAAAATATCCGAGTTTTCTTACAAACAACATACAGTTTTTAGAAATAGTGTGAAGAACGTTTGGTCGACATCGTGGGTTTTGTCATGGAGAAAATTTGGCAAGTTTTACAGCAATGACACGTGGAGACTGTTGACATGAGGCTACAGTCCCTTAGCTAATCAAGATGCAGAAAACTGTTTTAAAAAACCGCTTTAAAGATGAACCGTTTTATAGCCAGGATGACTGTGTTTATTTTATGGATTTTTTTTTCATACATATTCACAAATTCACTTTGACAAACAAACATTGGTAGGCTTATGTAAACGCTCAATGCGCTCAATGAGACACCAGCACAATATACTTAGTTCAAAGAGAACGCTGACTGTCGTTTACATTTTGTGCGCGTGTGCGTGAGCGTGCGTGCGTGCGTGTGCGCGTGCGTGTGTGTAAAAATATATAACAAAGAAAAAGTACTGTATGTGGGAAACGCAAAAGAATACGTTTCCTGCAACACCGACACAGTGGAGTTCAAAACGCACAAACCCTTGGCGTTTAATTGCTTGTTTTTTTTTCAAGCCGTTAGGCAAGGCAGAAATCTAAATGCTATTACTTTGAATGTCAATACCGGAAGTCGACAGAACTCCAACTGTAACTTCTTGACGTTACTTTTTGTTTGAAAGGGAGGAGTCTAACGCTTACCGCTTACATTTACCAAAATGTCATGTTGGTGAGATTTACAGTAAATCTGCAGCATGAATGGAATTATGTATACACCTTTTAGTATTTGTACGTTATCGATATAACGGTGGCAACAGATTGCTCGCAATTGTGGACAAAACATCGAAGGAAATTGACGGAACAGGAAGGCGGAACAAGTAAGTTCGGAAAAGTAGCTTTCCACTGCGATTTCGTCATCGTCTGATCTGCTCTTAGATAAACCGACTGTTTCCTTTCAAATATATGCACACTATACTATGTACTCGGTTGGAAAGTAACGTATTTTGTTGAAGATGTCGATTTCGTAGGCCTTTTCGAAGCAACAAGTCCAAACCGCGTTAGCTAGCCTCGTTACAAAGTTGGTACAGTCGTCATACGCCTCGCTGTTTAATCTCCTGCTTTCACGTCGGAAACGATCATGGAAATTTTGGCTCGGTATTCAAATGAATTTCATTCCTCAATTGTGAAGATTCGATATACATGTTTCAGGTCCCGCTAAATCGTCGAGAGGCGGTTTAGCGTGGTTTTATTGTCATTCCGAGCATTCTTTAGTTTCACAACCGGATTAGTTACTTGAAATAGGAAATGAGTCATTGTGTTGAACGTCGTAAACGCAAGCTTTCCCTTTTACTATTCAACTTTTTACTTTTAGAGAACCGTGTTAACGTTCATCCAAATGTTTTCTTCCCCCCGCCATTATTTTTTTTTTTTTTTTTCTGCGATGTTCCATTTGATATTTATATTCCGAGATTAAAACAGTTTGCATCCATTAAACATGCATGCAAGATTAGGCATGTCAGTGTCAAAAGTGGGACACAGATGCTGATGTTGTGTAATCTATTCCACACTTGTGTTTGCCAACCTTTGTTGAGACAACTCGCCCATTTTACACGACAACAAATCTCACGGCACACCACCAAACATAAATGTCACGAACAAAGTATGAATACTGAAATAATGATCCTCATGTTTCAATTTACTCAAACATTTATTTATTCTGGTTGAAATGTGGGCCCGTTTTAATTGAACACCAAGATGATATACTATCAGGAAGCAATGATTTTATTCCATTGGATGAATGGCAACAGGTGGACACAAGAACTCACTCTAACTTTCAACATCTAATGGGTGAGCATTCAATTGTTCTGCCTCTCACTTTATGTCACTGGCATAGATGCATGAACAAAGATATACTTGCGGCACTTCTGTGGATCTCTCATATCACGTTGTTTGGATCGACACGATTACAGTACAGTATATGCATAACAGGCCCACATTAAATACACCAACATTTGTTTGTCAGTGTATTTCATCAGACTGGTGTGTCCTGCTTAAAAGCAATGCATTTTGGATTTGGTACATTGTTGTACTTATTCATTTTATGGATGATTTTCCCTTTAATATCATAGTGTGGGAAATGATCAAAAACATTTCTCAAGTTCTCAAACGTTTTACACCATAAATACATTGTGCTCCAAGTACCACCATTATGACCAAAATTAAGGAAGCAATGATTTTATTCCATTGGATGAATGGCAGGCAACAGGTGGATACAAGAACTTACTCTAACTTTCGACATCTAATGGGTGAGCATTCAATTGTTCTGCCTCTCACTATATGTCACTGGCATAGATGCATTAACAAAGATATACTTGCGGCACTTCTGTGGATCTCTCGTATCACGTTGTTTGGATCGACACGATTACAGTACAGTATATGCATAACAGGCCCACATTAAATACACCAACATTTGTTTGTCAGTGTATTTCATCAGACTGGTGTGTCCTGCTTAAAAGCAATGCATTTTGGATTTGGTACATTGTTGTACTTATTCATTTTATGGATGATTTTCCCTTTAATATCATAGTGTGGGAAATGATCAAAAACATTTCTCAAGTTCTCAAACGTTTTACACCATAAATACATTGTGCTCCAAGTACCACCATTATGACCAAAATTAGTAGGCTGATATAAATATGCATTTATTTTTTTTACAGTGCATTGTTCTGCATCCTGATTGGATGATGTTTTTTAATGCTCATCCCGGAAAAAAGGTTTAATCTTAATAAACCTATAAATAAATAAAAACCTAACACTAATAATCAGATGTGCACCTGAGTTAAATAAAAATTGAAGCTCAATACATGGTCAAGAACAAATATTTGTTCAAGATTATGTGCAAGTGCTTTGTGCTTAAATTAATTGCAGCTGAACTGATGACGGACAAACAATTTTAAATGCACTTGCTAACTTTTTTATGAATATCAGTCTTTCAAGGAAACTTGCTATCTGCTATTTTCTTTCGATTGGTTCATTTTATGTGTTAAATGGATGCTGTTTATTTCGGTTTATTTTGTATTGAATTTAGTGATTATTGTGTGTAGCACACTTTGAGAACCGTTGATGTACAATAGTTTGGCTAACCAACCACCCTTTCTTTAACTTTCCTCTCTTTACAGAACGTAAACAGACGCCCCCCCAAACAGTCTTAGAATAACTGCACAGTTTGTGTACTCCATCTTTTGACTGCTTCCAGCAAAACCGTAACTAATTCACCCTACGTGTTGAAAGCTAATCTCTCCGGGATCTCAGCAAGCAACCATGTCCATGGCCCTGAAACAAGTTTTTAACAAAGACAGGACATTCCGGCCCAAGCGCAAGTTTGAGCCCGGCACACAGCGCTTTGAGCTTCACAAGAAGGCGCAGGCCTCTCTGAACGCTGGCTTGGACCTGAAGCAGGCCGTGCAGCTCCCACACGGGGAGGACCTCAACGACTGGGTGGCCGTCCATGTCGTCGACTTCTTCAACCGCATCAACCTCATCTACGGCACCATCAGTGATTCCTGCACCGACCAGACCTGCCCTGTGATGTCAGGCGGGCCCAAGTACGAATACCGCTGGCAGGACGAGCACAAATACAAAAGACCCACCGCGCTTTCAGCCCCCAAATACATGAGCCTGCTCATGGACTGGATCGAGGTACAAATCAACAATGAAAACATCTTCCCTACTAATGTCGGTAAGTGGTGAAACAAATTGCAGATAGTCTTAAAGTCCAGAATTAGAGATTGTGCCGATAACAAGCTGAACAATAATATGGAGTTATTTTTTTTCTTTTTTTTTTTGAGAAAAAAATGCCCCAAAGACATCTATAATCTTGTGCTTGAAGAAAGATATATTGGTAGTGATGTGATTTCAAAGTACGGCCTGTCACCTTGTGCGTCACCACTTAACCTGAGTAGCAGTTGTTAACTTATTTTTACACTTGTGAGCCTGTTCAAAACATGTTACAACGTTACAGAAAATATGGCCTGTCGATTTAAAGGTTCTGTAGTGGTGACAGTTACATCCAAAATATTGTTTTGAAATCCAAACAAATCCCATCGCAGCTTCAGGATTGTGCTTGACCTTTGAGGTGCCACCTTAGGTACGATACTGACATTTGGAATTATAAACGAGCTCCGTGTATCTTGTTCATGTGATAACAAATGCCTCATTTTGGCCACAAAACCTTGTAAAATTCAAATGTTTATCCTAATTATTCAGTAAATGCTTATTACCAAACCTGCAAAATATTTCAGCAGAAATTGATGGGAGAAGATAAGATGAGCGAGAGATGCAGTTCTGCACTCTAGATCAGTCACATGTTCGATGAAATCTACAAGGCTACATTCATTGCATTGCCGCCACTGTCCTGTTGCCATGGCGTTCTCATTCCGTATTTGTGAAAAGTGAGTATTGTTGCGGCTTTGCAAGCACAGGATTTATAAAGTAGGTCACACAATGTACAGCACGCAGTTATGAGGAGGAAAAGGACTCTGACACTCATGCCCCCTGGAAAAGATTCCAGAGATATTATTGGATGGGTGAGAGAAAAGAACGTCCTAAATGAATCACATCGCCTTTCTGGCCCAATTGTTCTGCTTTTGCACATAGCATGACCCGGGCTCAACACGGACAAGCAATGTGCTCACACAAAATCTAGATCCCTGTATTCTTTTGTCAAATATTCCCAACCACATGCTGTTGATTCCTATCTCCGTGTGTCTGACCCCAAGGTACTCCATTCCCTAAGACCTTCATGCAGGTGGCTA